GTAGCTGAGTCTCTCCACTGGTCAGTGCTGCTCACGGTACTGAGCTTGCGTAGGACAGGCAGCCTGAGTACCATACAGGATTAGTACATAGAGCCGCAGGTGTATGGTCACTTTGTGGGCTGCTCATGAAGCTGAATGTGCAGTGATATGCCCTCAGAGTGTTCTACACAGGACTGTTAGCTGCTGTTTTGACGCTGTAGCTTTATTGTGTAACTACTAACGGTGCCCGGCACAGGCATCGTTCCCTTTCATTACTGGAGAGCTCTGACTCACTAATACAAGCATATCCCTTCTTCTGGAGACTGCTGTTGTTTGGGGGTGCCCCAAACAGTTCTTGCTTTAACTTCAAAAATGGGAAGTTTGGCTTGGTGACACACATCAGCACTCCCAGCTGTTGGAGGGTAGAAGCAGGATGATATGGCTCAGTTGAATATGGAGTGCAAGGTGACTCTGGACTATGTGAGACCCTGTGTCAAAACAAAACAAACATACAAACAAACCCAAATGCTGCTTCTGGCTACTGGCATCCGTAGAATATCTGTCGGGGTCTATAGAGCTGGCTGGTGCCTCGTTCTTCTGTGTCCTGAAAGCCCCCAGATGATCTGAGCAAGTTCGATTGCAAGGAAAGCCCTGGAAACGAATGTTGCAGGGATAGTAGCTGTTTTAGTGGAAGGAAACCCAGTGATAAATATTAAAGAGGCTGGGTATGGTGGTACACACCTATACTGCAGCATTCAGAAGGCTGAGGCAGGAGTTTAGGGCTAGCCTAGGCTACATAGCAAATTCCTGGGCAGCTAGAGATATACAGTAAGACCCAGGGACAGGGGAGAAACATTTAAAAAAAAAAAAAAACAGAGAGCAGAGACTAATAAATTTACACCTAGTAATAAGAGCTAGGTTATAGGGTGGGGGATGTGGCTCAGTGGTAGAGCGCTTGCCTTAGCATAGGCAAGGCCCCTGGGTTCAATCACCAGCATTGAAAAAAGCGAGAATAAGCACTTGAGTGCATTTATGTGCCTATGCACTTTGATGATGATGCCACCGATGCCTGCGGGGTATTAGGGCTGCTCAGCTGTTGATTGCACATACTGCTCTTATGAGGACCTGGCTTCGGTTTCCAGCACTCACATCAGATGGTTCACAGCTTCAGGAGAACCTGAGACCTCCGACTTCCTAAGGCACCTGTACTCATGGCATGTACCCCGCCCCGTGTATAAACACACAGAATTTAAAATAATTAACATAAATCTTTAAAATACTAATGCTGTTAGTACTTAGTGTGTCGCTACCTTCTCTGATAACACATTGTTAGTTGTTCATGTAGCGTGTGGTCCTGAACAGCATGTTTCTCTCTCAATGCCCCTATGGCATTGAGCCAGCACCGAGGGCGAGCAGACCCTACTGCTTTGTAGACCAAAATGTTCCACCTGCAGGTAGACAACCATCTGTGTACTGAAGTGTGGCTACGAGAAAGGACAGAGTCAAGAACTGATGTAGTGTGTCTCTCTCCACAGAGTGAGGCCAAACAAAATGTACAACAGCTCACCCAGACCACAGGAACTGCAGTGCAAGCCCAGGGCCTGGGGGACAGACCACAGGGACTGCAGTGCAAGCCCAGGGCCTGGGGGACAGACCACAGGGACTGCAGTGCAAGCCCAGGGGACTGGGGGACAGATCACAGGGTCTGCAGTGCAAGCCCAGGGCCTGGGGGACAGATCACAGGGTCTGCAGTGCAAGCTCAGGGGACTGGGGGACAGACCACAGGGACTGCAGTGCAAGCCCAGGGCCTGGGGGACAGACCACAGGGACTGCAGTGCAAGCCCAGGGGACTGGGGGACAGATCACAGGGTCTGCAGTGCAAGCCCAGGGCCTGGGGGACAGATCACAGGGTCTGCAGTGCAAGCTCAGGGGACTGGGGGACAGACCACAGGGACTGCAGTGCAAGCCCAGGGCCTGGGGGACAGATCACAGGGTCTGCAGTGCAAGCCCAGGGGACTGGGAGCTAAACCTGGTGCAGCCCTGAAGTGGACTAGAGACTGGCCACAGTGAAGCCAGGCTTGTGCTGAGGTGTGTGTGTGTGTGTGTGTGTGTGTGTGTGTGAGAGAGAGAGAGAGAGAGAGAGAGAGAGAGAGAGAGAGAGGTGGGGGGGAACTGAATTATTTGGGCGGTGACTAATGAGTAACTCTCAGAAATAAGTACATTGTAGGCTGAACTGAGGTCATCTCAGAGCTTTGCAGGAGGCCACCAAGTTCCTAGGGAAGAAAGCTCTTTGTCACAGGACAGCCACCCTGTTTGTTCCCAAGGCCCTCAAGCTGAGGGAAAACTCTGGAAAAGGTAGGCACCCACAAATTGATAGTGGAAGCAGAAAGTTGGCTTTCATTATGTATACCTGCTCGTGTTTTCTAAACACTTCCATAATAAACAATAATAGAACAGTATGAGATCTGTTACCAGCCTGGGAGAGGTAAGAGAGTTCTCGAGGGAGAGGAGACAAAGGTTTGTGAATGAGACTGTGTGCAGATACTCGGTTTATGAATAAGACTGTGAAGATACTTTGGTGCTGAGACCTTGGCAACAGCAGTTGTTCTTCCAAGGCATAAAATGATCTTGTAGGAAAGAAAGTTGTGTGTTGAGAGCTCTTCCTGTGTTTGGTTCACAGAGGATGGAGGTCTAGAAGGACCTAGAAGGACAGCTACCTGCACAGGAGTCACCGTGAAAGCTCTTCTGGATTCTTTCTGATTACTTACCAGGAAGGCCAGAAAACAGAGGTAAGGCACCGTGGGATTGTGTGGGCAGAGCAGAGGACATGGGGAGGTGGGCTAGACGGACTGCAGGGGTGTGGGGTGGCTCGCTCTGTTTCGTTGCCTTTTCAAGGTGTGTACTCTAGCACGCACATCCATACATACATGTATGTAAACATGAATAAGTCACCAGTGCATAACAGTCAGTTAGCAAACGTGTAGTCTCTCCCCAGGTGGAAACTGGACTGTAACTAGCACCCAAAATATCCCTTCTGTTCAGGGCACCCGCCCCTGGGAGGCCAACCTGTCTGTGCTGCCTGCTCAGGGACTTTACATGTCTTCTCTTATGTTAATGCATTGTTTCCATCTGTTGCATGTGGTTGTCGTTTTTACCTCGATTGCCGTACAATATTCTGATGCTGGTGCATTTGCTTATTTTTGTTTGATAGATTCTTGGGTTGTTTCCAGTGTTTTAGAAGTTATCCTGCTAGAGGCATGGAATGGTTAAATCATGGGGTATGTTTTCCTAAGTAGAGACTTCCTTAAGTGACTGGGGGGCTGCTCCTACGTGGTCCTCTGTGCTAGCTGGAGAGTGGACAGCAACGGTAACTCACTGTGACCTTCTTCACTGAGGTCCCTAATGGACCTCACTGGACTTTTCCATTTGTTGGTTGCTACTTTTAGTCCCTCCTGTGCAGTGTCTGTTTTATACATTGTTGTGCTTATTTGAGTGCCCTACTGTCCAGTCCGGGGCTCACTGTGCAGGGGCCGTAGGCTAAACAGCTCTGTCCGTGGGTGAGCCCCAGAGAGCACTGAAGGCTGCTGCAGCAACAGGAAGGCCATGTTCAGGAGTGTTTGAGCCATCCTTCTTGCCCAGGCTGCTGCACAATGTGCTGGGTGCTCAGGAATGTGACAGTGTCTTGCCAGCTGTAGGTGCCCCGCTGCTGACAGAATCAGCCACACAAACTCCTCTCCACTCACTGCCTGGAGTCGGAGAAGACTTCCCCGAGACACAGTCTGTGAAGCAGATTTTGAAACACAGCTTCATAGAGCTGCAGAATATCATTGTGCGACAAGGAGGAGTTCCCCAAACAAAGTGGGTGGAAACATCAGACACTGTGTCAGATAATAAGGGAGAGATCACAGGTCTGAGAACTTGGTCTCAGATGTGAAAGAGCTCATGGTAGCCCTCCTCCCCATCCTCAGTTCCCCTGAGGATTGTCCCAGTCCTGTGACCATGTTGTCATGAAGACTATCCTGACTACCCACCGTAAGTGGCGAACACAACGTGGTCACTGAAACTGCCTGTGCTGTGGGTGGGATCCTCCTAGGTTGTAATGAACACCCCATTGAGGATCGTGTGCTTGCTTCCCGTCCCCCAGCAGGGCTGGCGTCCTGCACAAGTGATGTAATGGCATATTCAGTGTTGACTGCAGACTGGACTAAGAACCCTGCTTACACCGCAATTGGAATACACAGTCTTTAACTTCTTCCATGAATGTCCACCTTGCCTAGATGTAAAGCTTCCCAGAATGCATAGCCATTCAGTGTAGATCTTACTGAAATGTATATTTTACTAATGTAAGTATATTTTAGAACAGCAAAAACAAAAGCAAAAACACTTTACGGAAAATGCTAGTAAATGTGCTGGCTAGAAAGCCAGGCCCAGTGGTGCACATCCATAAATCCTCTGTACTCGGGAGGCGGAAGCAAGATGATTGTTGAGTTAAAGGCCAGCCTCAGCTACATACTGAGCCAGCCTGGGTTATAGAATGAGACCCTGTCTCAAAAAATCCAAAACAAGGAAAAGGAGGAACATTCTAGGCCAAGTAATAGAATATGCAAAGGTCGGAAAGGAAGGAGTTTTATCGGGGCGCATGGGCCACTCTAGGAAGGGACAGACTTGTAAATCTCGTAAGTGATGGGGATTAAACACGGGAAAGGAACTTCCTCACTGGGTAGAGGGGCGCTGTTGAGCCCGAATGAAGCTTTTAGAATATTATGAGCAAAAATTAGCTTGTCCTGTACATAAATTGCACCCCAGCTCTCAGATAACGACATGTATATGAATGAATAGTGCGTTACTAGCAAAGGCTGAGTGGCGGTGAAGGGCGTGGCTGCGGCGGCAGTCCAGCTCTTGGGGTGGGCGGGATGCTGCGCCGCTGCTGAGAGCAAACCCCTCCCCCTGGCCCCGTCGTCGGGCGGGGAAGCTTTTCAAGGAAACGAAAGCGAACTCTGGGGAGCCATCTTGCGGCCCAGGTGGGGGCCTGGCCGGCGCTATGTCCCAGGGGCTCAGGGGACCCGCAGGTAAGCCCATGGGGTCTGCACCCCGGCGGTGCTGGGCTTGTGGAGCGTGAGTTGCACGGGTCGTGTGCACCCTCATCCAGCAGCTCTTGCTCTCTGGTGCTTTGTATTCAGTTAGTTGTTACAGCTTTGAACAATCGCAGGATGGAGGCGTGGGAGAAGGTGAACTGGGTCTGAGCCCGACCCTGAGAACCCAGGCCAAGGCAAACACCCCTTCCCTTCTGCTAGGGCCTCTGACCCTCGCTGATCCGCTGTAGCAGCGTTTGAGCTGCTTTTCTTGCCTTGGGGACCTTCTTCCTTGCTCACTTTCGGTTTCCTAGGAAATTTAAATCAGCCTTCAGATAACCTGCAGGCTGAGTGGAATTCTGCTAGCGCTGAAGTAAGGAATGGTGTTCTTGTGCTGTGGTGTTCTTCTGTTCAGAAGGCTCATGCTGTGTGGCACTGAATGAGACATTTGAGGACGGAAACTGCTGCTTGGCACTGAAGGCTGGAAGTGGAGGAAAGGTGGAACGCAGAGGGGAAGGAGAAAACTTTGGTGGAAGTAGAAATGTTCTTTATCTTGGTTGAGTGATGGTGGTTTCTTTTTTGAGAGCACTCCTCCTCCCTAGTGCTGGGATTGAGGGCATGGCCCACCCAGGTTTATCCCTCCAGTTTTAAAAAGCTGTTTGAGATGAACCATGGCCTCACACTTGGTAGACAAGCACTCTACCACTGAGCTATAGTTTTTTTTTTTTTTTTTTTTTTATATTTATTTATTTATTATGTATACAATATTCTGTCTGTATGCCTGAAGGCCAGAAGAGGGTGCCAGACCTCTTTACAGATGGTTGTGAGCCACCATGTGGTTGCTGGGAATTGAACTCAGGACCTTTGGAAGAGCAGGCAATGCTCTTAACCACTGAGCCATCTCTCCAGCCCCTGAGCTATAGTTTAAAAGTGTGTGTGTGTGTGTGTGTGTGTATACTTTTAAAACTTTTAATTTTTCAGGACATGGTGACAGGCGCCTTTAATCCCCTCACTTAAGAGGCAGAGGCAAGCAAGTGGATCTCTGTGAGTTCGAGACCAGCCTGGTCTACAGAGTGAGACATTATCTCAGGAAACCTACCCAAAAAGCCAGCTTTTAATTTGTAGATGTGCACGCACACATGTGCTCCTGTCTGGAGGTGAAAGGACAGCCCCAGGGTTGGCTCCTCACCATCACCTTGTCTGAGACAGGGTCTCTTGTTTTCAGTGCTGGCCCTCAAGCTTCCAGGAATTTCTTCTTGGTCCCCTATATGCTTAGGAGTCCTGAAATTACTGCTGCTCATACTACACATCAGGCTTTTTGTGGAACTCGGGCCCTTAGAATTGTGCAGCAAGTGCTTTTACCCACCAGGTCATTGCCCCAGCCCTTAATGTTGTATTTTTAAAAGTCCTTTCTAAAAACACTGAGGACATCTGACTTGAAGAAAATGCATGTATGCAAGTATATGTGAAATATATGCACACCATGGAACACATAGAATATGTATGTGTATATATATGTGTATGTGTGTGTATATATGTATATGTTTATATATAGTGACTAAAGACTATGTCCCATTAAATGACTGTCTGCAGCTGTTCTCAATTGGGAATTGGTCTTTAGGGGACTTTTGGGGGTAAAAAGACAGAATAAATAATTCCTTCTGTAGTCCTACCTTCCCAAAGTAACTCAGTAAATTCATTACTGTTTCTTTTTATCTTTAATCATACTAGTGTGTGTGTGTGCACTCTTCTGGGTTTTCTCTTTCTTAGTAGAAGTAAGTATAACCAATATGTACTCGTCCATTCACACTTTTAATATATACCCAAAATTTCTGTGGTCAGAATGCAAATGTAGCCAGTGTGGTAGCACACGCCTTTAATTCCAGCACTCAGGAGGCAGGGGAATCAGATCTCTGTGAGTTCGAGGCCAACCTGGTCTACATAGTGAGTTCGAGGACAGCCAGGGCTACACAGAAACCCCGTCTCTTTAAAGAGAGAGAGAGTCAGAGACAGAATATATCCAACATATATGTTTAAAAACTGTGACTAATGATCCATAGTGTGTGTATATTTCAATTTATTCAGCTGTTTTGTAACTAGGCACTCATATTTGCCAGACTTTGTTTGAAAGTAGCCATTTAAATCAAGATTGTATTTAGGGACTGGAGAGATGTCTCAGAAGTTAAGGGCAATGGCTGCTGTTAGGTCTCAGCCATCTGTAACTCCAGTTCTGAGGACCTTTGTCCTTTTTGGGCACCCGGCACACATGTGATGCACAGACATAAATGCAGGCAAAACACCCATACACATAAAATAAATAAATCTTAAAAAGTATTTACCTAGAAACTGACGTTAATGTCTCTGAAATGAAAATGTCTTTTCCCCAGATTCACTCAAAGAGCCAATCAGAAATCTCCTACAGCCCCCGTTATTGAACTGTGTGATTGGGTCGCTCATTCTGCATCACGTGGTGCAGAATGAGGAGCCAGAGGTGGTGGTGTTTGTTCAGACTTTAGTTCAGGAAATACTGCTCAGAGCTATCTACCCTCTTCAAGAAAATGGTTACTGGCTACCAGAAAAGAGGTTCAAGGTTTGACAATTTAGCAGAGACCCAAATTACATAATGGTGGTATTGGTAGGGTCACTAGGCAAAGACATCATGTGGAGGTCACTGATACAGGAGGTGAGGTACCACAGTAGTGATTAGGATGGTAAGATCCCCAGTCCTGATGGAGAGAATCAGAGGAACGCTGTGAGTGCATCAAACATCCCTCCCAAGTGTGCGAGCCGGGGAAAGGAAGCAGAGCCATGCTCCCGTCCCATGACATGCGTGCTCCAGCAGGGTGTCCATGGGATGGATGCTGCCTCTGGGGTAGCTGGGGAAGGTGCAGAGACCAACACTGCTTGTTCCCATGTTCAGGCGAGCCCGGGTGCCATCTCAAGAGGGAAGGAAGATCACGTGCTGCTTTTGGGCAGCGACTCTCTGGCTTCCCTAAAACTAAATTCTGATCCTCCAGGCCCAGCTGGCTAACAGGCCAGCCTCTGAGGGCCCTTCATCACATGGAGATGGCCCCTACTAGTCACTCCTCCTTCAGCTGGGAGAGGGACATGCGCTTCAGTTTCACCCAGTCTTAAATCCTGCTTGGCAAGATCATCTCCAGGTCAAGGTCTGAGAGACTGTAAAGTGCTGTGTTGTGGTGGGGAGCCTGACCCACATGGCTGCCCTCCTGCACGCTGAGCCCCATTTTCCTCTCTACTCCAGGGTTGCGTTTCTTTCTAAAATACCATCTGCTTGTTTTTCAACTTTATAGTTATTTATATATTTATTGAGATATATTGGTATAATTATTTATATATATTATATATTTATATATTATTTATTATATAGTGCAGATACTGTCCTGCATCTATGGTAATCTGAGGATGGTCACTTCTCTTCCACCGCTTCTATCTCCAAGATCAAACTCGGGTCACCAGGTCCCATGGCAAGCGCCCTTCCCACTGAGCCGTCTTTTTGGCTGTGTTTTCTAGTTTTAGAAGGGTCATTTGGAGTGAGTAGAAGGTTTTTCCATCCCCTTGAACTCCGGTTACAAGGGGGAGAGTTAAGCTGCTGGAGGCCTCTCTGAGGCCTAAGAAGGCAGTATGTGGCTTGTCCCCTTCTTCTCTGAGCTCCCTGATGAGCTTACCAGCAGTAGCCAGTGTGGACTGGAGTCACCCTGTGAGAACATAGGCTCAGTCAGCTACCCTGCCTGTTAGGACTCGGGAACAGCTCGCCCAGGCAGAAACTGGAGGGATGACAGGCTCATGCATGACTCTAACTCAAGCTCTGGCCTCCATGTTGTCTTCTACAGGGGTATTCCCTTACCAGACACGCCCCTGCTTGGACCCCAGCTATGAGCATAGCAGCTGGAGACACCTGCAGCCACGTGTGCCCGAGTCTTACCCCAGGAGTTTCCAGCTCCAACAGATAGAGTTTCTTAAAGGCCGGCTCCCAGAAGCACCCTTGATTGGACACCAGCCCCAGTCGCTGCCGCCATTCTTCCCAGGACACTGGCCACGGTTCCCAGGGCCACCTTCCCAAGGCAAGCAACTGGAAACCTGGAATTTCCCCAGGAGAGTGACTCCTAGGAGTCAGGGCTTCCACATAGGACTGCCACTTCCTCCCCCACACAGCACAAGTCTGCCATGGAGAGCGGATGATAGACTTTGCTCTCACTTCCAGGAGCTGAGCATCAGTCAGAATCCAGAGCAGAAGATCCTAGGCCGCCTGGAGGAGCTTGGAGAGGGGCGGGCCATCAGCGCTCAGGTACTAGCCAGAGAGCTCAGGGTCCCAAAGAAGGAGGTCAATCGTGTATTGTACTCCCTGGAGAGGAAGGGGAAGCTGCGTAGAAAAGTAGGAACTCCTCCTTTGTGGAGCCTTGCACCCCCACATCAGGCTTGGACTCAGCCCCCTAAAACTGTGAATCCAGTCAGTTGTGGCCAGGAAGTCCCTCAAGAAGAACCTGGTTTGAACAGTGAAGACGGAGACCCTGCCTCTGATTTAGAAGGACCCCTTGAGCTTCTTGACATGGCGGAGATCAAGGAAAAAATCTGTGACTACCTGTTCAATGTGCCGAACTCCTCTGCCCTGAACCTGGCTAAGAACGTTGGCCTGGCCAAGGCCCGGGATGTGAATGCGGTACTGATTGACTTGGAAAGGCAAGGCGATGTCCACAGGCAAGGGGCCACGCCTCCCACCTGGGACTTGACGGACAAGAAGCGGGAGAGGCTGCAGATCAAGAGAAGTACACACAGTGTCCCAGCTGCTGTCCCAGAGGCTACCAGAAGCACCTCATTCCCCACCTGCCATTCGCCCCCATCGGGTGCCTCCAGCAGCATGGCAACCCCCAAAAGAGTGGAGAATGGCCAGGAACCTGTGACAAAGTATGAAAGTAGGTATGAGGCCAGACCAGGACCAGTGAGGCTGCGGCCACACGCTTATCACAGTGGCCCCTCTAGAGCAGGGTATGTTGACTCTGAAAACGGCCAGTGGGCCACAGATGACATCCCAGATAACTTGAATAGTATCCACACAGCACCAGGTGAGTTTCGAGCCATCATGGAGATGCCCTCCTTCTACAGCCCTGTCTTGCCACGGTGTTCACCATACAAGAAGCTGACTGAATGCCAGCTGAAGAACCCTGTCAGCGGGCTTTTAGAGTATGCTCAGTTCACTAGTCAGACCTGTGATTTCAACCTGATAGAGCAGAGTGGACCGTCCCATGAACCTCGGTAAGACACCACCCAGGATCGTGCCTAGTGCTGCAGGTGCTTTGGCTCCTGCACTGTCTCAGCTCACTGTGAGTGGGTGGCCTTGGTGGCTCCTGTCTTTGCCTTCTCTCGTTTCCGCTTTTGGCTAAATCATCCTTGATTGGTCCTTTCTCTAAGTGCTAGTCAGGGAAAAGAGACCTCAGGGTAGCCAGAATCCTGGCTGAGCAAAGAGAGATTGACTCTCTTGGCTGAAGTGACCTTCCTTAGAGATGACTGGCTCTTGGGCACCCAGAGGTGACACAGACTGCTTCTGTCCCCATCCCTGCCAGACTGAAGCTCTCAAGAGGAGTGTAGGAGCAGGTGGACCAGAGCAGGCCAGAATAACAGCTCTTGCTCGGCAGCAGCAGGTACACTTTCCACCCCAGCCTCGGCTGGGAGGGAAAGAAAGGGTGTGTCACACAGAAAGCTGCCTGCCAGTCTTATCGCAGGGGTACCTGTACTTTTGCACACTTCCCCAGCACGGGTAGTGGGGCTGCACTCACAGGCTCATGCTCAGGCAGCTGGCCAGGCTTCGCACCCTTCCTAATGCTGCGAGCCTTAATACAGTTCCTTGTGTTGTGGGGACCCCAACTATGAAATTACTTTGTTTTTACTCCATAACTGTACATTTGGTGCTGTTATGAATTATAACGCAAATATCTGAGCTGTAGGCTATCTGATGTGTGACCCCTGGTTTCTAGGGGTGAGGGCTCCCTACAGTGACCTGTTTCCTCCTTAACTTCCTTCATGATACCAAGTTACCGCTGCAGGAGAACTGTAAAGAAAGGGGTGTGCTCCCCAAACTGACAGAGCCAGGGCCCATTCTGGGATGAGGGGCTATCATGGTTTCTCTCAGCACCCCTCCAGAGAGTTAAGGGAAAGCGTGGGTTTTGCTGTTGGTCATTCTTTGGACTTCAGCTATGTAAGGAACTTGCATGCTGTCGGGCGTGTTGGCACATAGCCACGACCCCAGCTCTCAGGCTGAGTACCAGGTTGGCCCGGCTAATATATAGTAAGACTCGGCCTCAAAGGGGAAAAATGAAAAGAAATGACATTATATTATATTTAAGGGTTTTGAAGACCTGCTAAGTAAGAGATCTGACCTCCTATGAATGAGTGGATCCGGCTTGAGATTTAAAAGCTTGAGCAAAGGACCCCGAGGCTAAGACCAGAGGTCTAGGATCAAGTGTTTTGGTTTTCATCTCAGACCTGGGACAGACAGCTGTAGCACTGCACAAGCAATCAAAGAAGGGCAGATTGCTACAGTGACCTGGGACACAACACCCACCTAAACAGCAGGCCTGCCCCTCCAGCCTCCTGTTCCTCCTCTCATAGCCAGCACCCCTTCCTCCCTTCCCCCGGGGCAGGTTCTGCTGTGGTGTCTGGGAACTGGAGAAGGGGCATTACACTATCTTTGTTGTCTTGTTGCACCTCCATGGAGGAGGCGGGTCCACAGTCGGCTAGGGTAAAGTTCTGGGCTTGTTAACAAGGCTGTTCACATATCTCTTTTGTGCACTTTATCCGCTTTCATGTTTAGAAGTGATAGTGGGCTGGGCAGTGGTGGCACACACCTTTCATCCCAGCACTCAGGAGGCAGAAGCAGGAGGATGTGTAATTCGGCCAGCCTGGGCCATAGAGCAAAACCGTGTCTCTAAAACGTGGTGGACCAGCAAGATGGCTCAGGAAGTGAAAATACTTGCCACCAAGCTTGACAGCTTGAGCTCAGCTCTCTGAACCTGTGAGGTGAAAGAAGAGCTGATTCCCACATGTTGTCTCTGAGTTGCACGAGCTCACAAGCTAAAGTAAAACACCACTGGGTGTGGTGGCCACGCCTCCATTCCTAATACTCAGAAGTCAGAGGCAGGAGGACCTCTGAATTCGAGGCCAGTTTGGTCTATATAGAAAGCTTCAGGTCATCCAGGGCTGTGTAGAGATAGAGACCCTGAAAAGTACTCAGTATAGCAGAACATTCCGGATAGAGATCTCTTCTGAATGAGCAGAGGGATGACCCAGCCTGGTGTTGACATATCTAATCGCTTTCCACCAAGATTTAAATTCCAGGTTGTCATCAATGGCCGAGAGTTTCCTCCAGCTGAAGCCGGCAGCAAGAAAGTGGCCAAGCAGGATGCAGCAATGAAGGCCATGGCGATTCTGCTTCGGGAAGCCAAAGCTAAAGACAGTGGAAAACCAGAAGAATTATCCCCCTGTCCCATGGAGGAGGACTCAGAGAAGGTAGGTGTTCTTCCCTGGGGACAGTAACCCTTGGCTGTTGTGTGACAGACTCCAGGAGCTGTTCTGGAACAGTCTCCTGAAGCAGCACCTACCCTTCCTCGTGCCCCCTGTCTCCCCTTCCCTCTTAGCCTGCTCCCCTTCCACCATCCTGGTCTCATGGTATTTGTAGTGTCAGGGGAAAGATCCAAATCAGGGTTCTCTGGAGGAAGAGAACTTATATAACAAATAATTAAAAGAAGATTTCTTGGATAGGTACACAGTATGGTCAGAGTGGCCCAGTGAGGGCTGTCTTAAAGCTGGGAGACTGAAAACTGGGAATTGATGAGTCCCTGAGGCTGGGTACTTTGGCAGTTCGAACCTGGCACTGAAGGCCAGAGCAGTTCTTCTTGGAGAGCTGCTCTGATCCAGAAAAGCCAGTTCTAATGTCAGGGAAGGAGGTAGCGGCAGCAGCTTCAGCACGGATGAACTCCTCACTGAGAGTGAAGGCAAAAACACCAAGCTGTCATTGCCCGTTTCCTTTTATCTGGGCTGCTAGCATTTAGGGTTGTCTCCTCAGTCAGCTAAATTATCCAAACAATTCCTCAGACGTGCCCACAGGCCAGTCTGACCCAGATAGCACCTCAGGAGGCTCCTTTTCTTTGGTTTTAAGCTGTGTCAGGTCACAAAACCAACCATCACAGACCTTAAATCCACTCTCCTGCCTGTTTTAGGAGATAAGTCTCCCCTTCCTGTGCCCACAGTAGCTCCTTTGGAAGCCACTCCTCACATTTAGGTGTCTAAAAGAACAACTTAGCTGGGTGCAGTGACTCTGTCATTGCAGCACTTGGCATACTGAGGCAGGATTGCTTTGAGGTCAAGGCTAGCTTGGGCTATAGCAAGAGACTTTGTTTCAACAAAACCAGGAGTTGGGAGAGAAAGTCTCAACAGCCCACTGCCCTCTTCTCGGGTAATCTGGTGAGAGTTTTGTTTCTGTGTTTTGTCTAGTGTTTTCTTCTTTTCTCCAGGCAGCAGAGTCCCAGACCTCCAGCTCCTCAGCAACACCCTTGCTCTCTGGAAAGAGCCCAGTGACCACGCTGCTCGAGTGTATGCACAAGCTAGGGAACTCCTGCGAATTCCGTCTCCTGTCCAAAGAAGGCCCTGCCCATGACCCCAAGTATGTCCTCTGTGTGGTGCCTACTGTGGAGGTCTCCCCCAGTGTAGGAAAGGCACCTCCCCTGCAGCCTCGGAGATGAGACGTCCTCCCTCTTTATGGTCTCTCCTGCTACAGTCTGGAAAGGGCCTTCAGGGCCTGGCTGCTGCTATGAAGCAGAGAATCTGGGATTAGGAGTTCGAAGGGACCGAGGACTAGGTAGGGTCACAACGTGGGCAGCGTGGCGGTCACTGTTGGAGCAGAAAGATTGAGGACCTGGGCATGCCTTAGCAGCTCCCTGTTGGGGGTTCTGTGCATGCTTGTTCAAAGAAGGCTTCCTGGAGGGCGAGGAGTGACGTGTGTGCGAGTATAGCCAAGTCAGGAGACCCTGGGGCAGTGAGTGGGCGGGGCACACTAACTCACCAAGGCCAAAATAAACTCTGCAGAAGTGCTGTGTAAGCTACAAGTAGTTCAAGAGGACGGCAGCCTGACAAGGGTGAGCAGATCCCCTCAGCCCAGCATCTGTGTCCTTTGCCTCGTCTCCTCCAAGGTTCCAGTACTGTGTAGCAGTCGGAGCCCAGACTTTCCCCACTGTGAGTGCCCCCAGCAAGAAAGTAGCAAAGCAGATGGCCGCAGAGGAAGCCATGAAGGCTCTGCAGGAGGAGGCAGCCAATTCAGCTGATGACCAGGTGGGGTACGGTTCTACAGGTTACAGCATGGGCAGATTTGGGGTGTCTCTGAGCCCCTCTGAATTTTCTGACTTGTTGCTGGTTCCTCCCCGGTTAATTCTCCCTCAGTCTGGAGGTGCGAACACGGAATCACTCGATGAGTCTGCGGCACCTAACAAGATCAGGAGGATTGGTGAGCTCGTGAGGTACCTGAACACCAACCCCGTGGGTGGCCTGTTAGAGTATGCCCGCTCCCATGGCTTTGCTGCTGAGTTCAAGCTGATTGACCAGTCTGGACCTCCTCATGAACCCAAGTGAGTGTCTTAGTCCTGGCAGCAACCGTGTGTCAGCGGGGGAGGGTGGCTGTGGCACAATTAATAAAAACTGGGAGACAGAAATTGGGGTTCAGCCTGAAGGTCAGAAAAGCAAAACAGCCAGCCACTAGCTCTTTTCTCTACCTCAGTCCAAAATGGTGATCCTGCCTCCAGGAACCTCAGAATGAGACTGTGTCTGAGAGCTGTCTCCTCCCATTTTATATTCCTCTCTAGTGCTGGGATTAGAGGCACGCACCACTACCGCCAGAGTTTTCTATGGCAAACTAGTGTGGCTACTGGGATTAAAGGTGTGTGTCACCACTGCCTGGTCTGTAAGGCTGATCAGTATGGCTGTTTCACTCTCTGATCTTCAGGCAAGCTTTATTTATTAAAATACAAATAAAATATCCCTGCAGGTGGCCTGTGAGCCAATGTAAGAATGATGCGCATTGACTGTGAATAGGGTGTCTGCACAGCCTGATAAAGACAGTGGGTCAGCCATTTGGAGAGTTCTGTCACTGTTCCAGAGTGGGAGCCTTTAGTTTCATACAAAAATTATTCAAGTGGTTGAAAGATTATTCAATGAAGAGTTTCTCTCCTTTTCATCCCTTTTCGAGTCCCTTTCTGTAAAGATCTTTATTTTACGTGTGTAGATGTTTTGCCTACGTGTCTGTCTGTGTACTGTGTGTTCGCAGTGCCCGTGAAGGCTAGAAAAGGGCCATATTCCTGGGAACAGGAGTTAGAGATTTTAGCAAGCTGCCGTATGGGTGCTGAGAATCAAACACAGATCCTTGGAGGAACCGTTTCTCTAGCCCCCCCCATCCATTTTTTAATTTTAAAAAGTAACTAAGATGAAAAATCTCATAAAAAAAATAGCATGGGGCAGGGGCACTAGGGAGATGAATCAGAAGCTAGGAGACTAGCAGCTCTTGCAGAACATCCAGGTTTGGTTCTTAGCACACAGGGCAGCTCATAACTCTCTGTAGCTCCACTTCCAGGGGATTTGACTCCCGTTTCTGGCCTCCATGAACGCTAGACACGTGGCACACTTCCATCCATGTGGGCAAACATTTTATGTGTGTCTGTATGTGTGTGTAGTTTTTTATTTTATTTTAGTTTTGGTTTTTCGAGACACGGTTTCTCTGTAGCTTTGGAGCCTGTCCTGGAACTAGCTCTTGTAGACCAGGCTGGTCTCGAACTCACAGAGATCCGCCTGCTTCTGCTTCCCGAGTGCTGGGATTAAAGGCGTGCGCCACCACCACCCAGCTTAGATTTGTTTTGTTTTTTTTTTTATTATTATCTTTGGACCAGCAAGATGACTCAGTGGGCAAGGGTACCCACCCTGATGACCTGAGCTCTATCCCTGTGACCCATATTAGAATAGAGAGGACTGATTCACAGATTGTCTCTGGGCACCGCACATGCACCGTATGTGTGTGCCTCCCCCAACAAAAAACAAACTGACTAAAACTGATGTCTTGCTATTTTAAACTTGTCTTTTTTAGTAGTACTGCCATTGATGTTTCTGTGTCCATAAGGCTTTGTGTTCCATTGTGAACTGCCTCGTTTGACACCCATTTTCTCCAGAGTGTCACTCTTTAGTCTTTTAGAGCTTTTCAAACAATAAGAACATTAGCCCTTTGATGATCATAACCCAATTTAGATCCCTCAAACTAAAGGGGCCCAAAAGAGCCCCTGAGCACCCCCATTTCGGGGTACCTTTATCCTGTGTGGAAGCTGGCTGGGAAAGAGGACATGGTCTCTTGTCCCCCCTCCAGCCAGCCTCACTCTCTTGGTCACATGATAGTGGAGCGTCCATGCATTCCCCTCTCTCTCAACTCAGTCATTCACTTGGAACGTGAGAACTTAAGCACTAGGATGGAAGCTAGGAGGATGCTACAGATTTAGGGCGGTGACAGTGTTGGACTTGCCCTGTGGCTTGTCCTGGGGAGGCGAATGCTAATTTAGTAACCAGTCTGTTTCCTGCTCAGGTGATCCTTCCTTTGTGTAAATAATGCCGCACCCACTTTTCCCTCTCTTTCTGGGTGACCTTGACTAACTTGTTGGCTTTTAACGTCTAACTGCTGGAAAGTGCTGGCTGCGCCTCTCTAACCCAGACCTCTCAAAACTCCTGTGTGCAGTTACACCCTTCCACTCCAGTCAGACACCTACAGGACATATTCTAAGCAGAGCTCCAAGACTTCCTGTCTCAGTAAACACTACCTACCCTGAAGCCAAGCCCTGTCTTCGCCAGGATTTCTAGTGCCCTGATAAGCACCATGGAACAAAAGCAGCTTAGGGGGGGAGAGTTTATTGCCATTTCCAGTCCAGTAGTGGACTCATATTGAGGGAAGGCTATGGCTTGCTTGGCCCGCTCCTCTTACACAGCCCGCCGAGCGTGCGCTGCTCACAGCCTCACCACGTTCTTGTCCCTTAGTTGCGCTTTCCTGCTAACTTTTATTTTCTCCTTTGAGTCCACTCTTCCAGACCTTTGCCTCAGATTGCCACCTAAATTGCCGTTGGCACTCTGAACTGATAGCTTCTTCCAACTTGAGAGAAGAGATACTCATGTCCAGGCCCTCCCCTTGAGTGCGTGGGAACTGGTTGTTTCCTGTCTCCTCCTCCTCCTCCTCCTCCTCCTCCTCCTCCTCCTCCTCTCTCTTGCAGCCTGTGTTAGCTTATTGATCCCTTACCCATCTTTGAGAGACTGAGTCTTGACCTTCTTCCCTCCAGGCTCTACCCCATTTCTCTGCTGCTCTAGATGCTGGACGTCTCCAAAAGACTGTTTGTAGTCACTGTTGTGTTTCACTCCCCCTGGGGGCTGGAGAGAGCTCAGCAGTTAACAATGTGGACTACTCCAGCAGAGGAGCCTCATTCATTTCCCAGCACCCACCACCTGGCCCCAACGTCCAGGGGACCCAGCACCCCTCTCTGGTCCTCTCAGGCACTGCACAGATGCACATACACAATTGAAAATAAAAATAAGATCTCGGCGTACTCTGCTAAAAACCTAAGCACTAGCCGGATGTACTCACTGAGCTCTTGAGATGTGGCCAGCGTGACCGAGGTCTGAATACATCACTCAGTCGAAACTTCTAGTCACTTAGCCTCATGTGGTTTGTAGCTTCCATATAAGAATGCACAGCTCTAAAGGATTCTAATTTCACAATTAACAGCTTAAACACATTCTGTTTGTACACACAAAAGTATGTAGACAAGGCTCATCCTTCCCAAAGACACAGTGGCCACAAAATCTTTCTGGTCTCCAGAGGCAGAGGCTGCCCTCACTTAGTTCTGAATTTGGACCACTGGCTGGCAGAAACCTACCAGCAGGGGCAAAGAAAGGAGGAGATGCATTCAGCGGCTTTGTAACCGAAGGACAGTGAGAAGCTCAGTGTGGATGGCAAAGCCTAGGCCGTGCGCCTCTTTGCCCCAGTGGGTTACCTAGTGCTAAGTTTGCATCAGGATCCTACAGAAAGCTAATAGGTTTCCAAGCTGCTGTGCTCTGACTTCCCTCTGGATTTGTGGGAGCCTGCCCCAGGAACAATGGGGACCCCTCCCTACTTAAGAGCCCCTGGTCCGCTTCCTCCCTCCCTCCTCCACTCCCCCATAGCTGTCTCAGACCTGCTGGAAATGAACAAATAATGCCTTGTGAAAGCTTGGCTCTTGGCCTAAGGCAGACCTTGTCATATGCACCTTTCCCAGGTTGTCAGGAGGCACAAGGAAGCAAAATTGGGTCCTTTAAGTAAGATCAGACAGTTTTAAGAGTCAGAAAATGGCACTGCACTTGGTTGGCTTCCAGAGGCCCTAGTCTTGGAGAGGGGAGTCAGAGTGCTGAACACCTAGCATGTGGGAAGGCAGGTATCCTTCATTTCCACTTGAGAAGAAACCTTTTTGTGTCCGTATATGTCATTCCTCAATTACTATCTATTTTTCTTCTTTTGTTTCTTTGTTTTTAAATCTGGACACAGAACCTGTCGCTTGGCCTGGAGCTGGGATAGGCTAGCTAGGCTGCAGCCCCTGGGAGCCACTTCCCTCTGTTGCCGGAGCTGCAAGCATGCTGAGAAGCTTTTTTTTTTTGAGGTGGTGGTCCTTGGGGAGGGGGGCATAACTCCGGTTCTTGTACTTGTAAGGCATCTTCCCAGCTTGTAAAGAAACCATTTCCAGTTCTCTCTCAGCTTCCCTTCTAATAAGGAACAGCTCAGAGCCTTCGCAGGTAACACCACAATGTCTAGACAGAATTTAATAAGATTGTATGAATGGTTTTTGTTGTTGTTTTTGTTTTTCACAGGGTTTCTCTGTAGCTTTGGAACTAGCTCTTGTAGACCAGGCTGGCCTTGAACTCAAGAGATCTGCCTGCCTCTGCCTCCTGAGTGCTGGGATTTAAGGTATGTGCCACCACTGCCCAGTGATTGTATGAATTTTATAGTCACTTCCAGTTTATGGGAAGTGGCACCGTTTCCCCATTTATGGTAATGGAATGAAATTTACTTTTAAAATATGTTTATAGTTCTGATGATTCTGGTTAGCGGGAAATACTAAGAAATAGAACAACTGACGTCTGGATAACAAACAAATAAACCATGTAATCATGAATGACCAGAATCTGAGGAGTACTTCCAAGTGAGACCAGCTGGTCCTATGTTTGCAAAAGTGGCCTCATTCTAAGCAAGCCTGCCTTCCCCGCACAGCCTTGGGGGGGGGGGGGGGACTGCTTGTTTTCATCCTCATTCTCTTCCCAAAGGTTTGTTTACCAAGCGAAAGTCGGGGGCCGCTGGTTTCCAGCCGTGTGTGCACACAGCAAGAAACAAGGCAAGCAAGATGCAGCCGACGCAGCCCTCCGTGTCTTGATCGGGGAAAGCGAAAAGGCAGAGCAGTTGGGTTTCGCAGAGGTAACCCCAGTGACAGGGGCCAGTCTCAGAAGAACTATGCTTCTCCTTTCCCGGTCCCCAGACGCACATCCAAAGACAGTTAAGATATCTGCTTTTGGTGCTCTCTTTTCAGGGGTGGTGGGGTTCTGCTTGCTCCTGCCCAGAAGAAGTCGGCTCTTCACTTGGCCGTAATTATCCCTAGGCTTCTGTCTTGGTCTCAGTAGAGTGCATGCTAGGATACTAGATGTGGGGTGGGAAAAGATGGCTCCCTTGTCAGCAGACACACAGGGTCCTGACACTGCTCCTGTCCTCACAGCTTCCTCTCACTGGTAGCACCTTCCACGACCAGATGGCTATGCTGAGCCACCGGTGCTTCAACGCTCTCACCAACAGTTTCCAGCCCTCCCTGCTCGGCCGCAAGATCCTGGCTGCCATTATCATGAAGAGAAGCGCTGAGGACATGGGTGTTGTAGTCAGTTTGGGAACAGGTGAGTGACCGAGACATTGACCCCTCTGGAGTCGTTGTGAGCAAGTCCGAAGGTATGGGCCAGAGAGTCCACATAGGTAGAATAGTTGGCATGATGCTGAAGCATTTTGGAGCTGGAGCTGTTATGATTGCTTTAGTTAGCTACTTAGCAGTGAGCACTGCAGAGATAGCCCCAGGGTCTGTGGAGTACGACTCTGGGATTGTCTCAGCAGTGAGCACTGTCTGATTCTGGGATTATTTTAGCAGTGAGCACTGTCTGATTCTGGGATTATTTTAGCAGTGAGCACTGTCTGACTCTGGGATTGTTTTAGCAGTGAGCACTGTCTGACTCAGGGATTGTCTTAGCAGTGAGCACTGCAGAGATAGCCCCAGGGCCTGTGGAGTCCAACTCTGGGTCCAGCTCGCCAGTTCTGGAGCTCAGATTTCTGTTCCTTTCAGATGCATCTGCTCAGATTTGGAATGAGTTTGGGGTTTGACTAGGATTTGTTTTGTTTGGAGGCATGGTAGCTCAGGCTAGCCTCAAATACCTCATCCTCCTACTTCAGCCTTTCGGGTGCTGAGGTTATAGGCATGCGCCACTGTGCATAGAGTCCAAAACCTCTGCCGTAGTCTTGGCCTGCCTCACCAGCACTCTGTGACTGCTCCAGTTTTGTTTTGATGCCCAGGGAATCGCTGTGTGAAAGGGGACTCGCTCAGCCTAAAGGGAGAGACAGTCAACGACTGCCATGCAGAGATCATCTCCCGGAGGGGCTTCATCAGGTGAGCAAGAGGGTCACAGCCGTTTGCTGTTGTGGGGCGGGGCCCTCCTGGTTCCCAGTCCACTCACCTTGAAACCCCAGCAAATTGGCAGCCGTCCATAGGGCCTGTCATGTGCAGTCCCTTCTGTGACCTGACTGCATCTTCCCAAACAAAGTGACCCTTGCGTCCTCAAGCCTGAGGAATGAAGCAGCCTTTTCTCTCCATGTGAGAACCTGTGCTCAGGCTCTGCCTCTGCCGGCTTTCTTCTCGGGCTCTGCTGTAGTTGGTGAAGGGCAGAGTCCGGGAGAAGCAGCAGCTAGCCCTGTAAGGTCTTGAGTCGGTGTATTCTGCCTGGAGTGAAATGCCAAGGTCTGCTGAGGAGAACTTCTCAGTCCCTCTTGTACCTGAGAGGCAGAAAGCTGTCCCATGGAGGCCTTTCCTTACCTGAGTTCAAACCCAGGGCAGAGTGTGGAGGTGTGTTCTGCTCTGCCCAGACTCGAGCTGCCTCCTAGCCAGTTTTTTTCGGTAGGTTTCTCTACAGTGAGCTCATGAAGTATAACCAACATACTGCCAAGAACAGCATATTTGAGCTTGCCAGGGGAGGAGAGAAGCTCCAGATAAAAAAGACGATTTCTTTTCATCTCTACATCAGGTTTGTACCCCTGGTTTGGATGTCCACATGTTCCTCTGTACCAATTCCTGACCTTGTACTGTAAGCCAGGTCTGCTCTGTGTCTGAGGTGCATACCCAGAGAGCAAAGTCGTTCCTGCCACCCAGTACCCATATAGGCTTAAGAAAACATTCCTGGCTTTGATGACAAGTGGTCTCAGGACCTGTGAGTTGGAGGGAGATTGCTGGGGGAGTCTTAACTAATGCCATTGTTGGCAGCACGGCGCCGTGTGGAGACGGAGCCCTCTTTGACAAATCCTGCAGCGACCGTGCTGTGGAAAGCGCAGACTCCCGCCATTACCCTGTCTTTGAAAATCCCAAGCAAGGCAAGCTTCGCACCAAGGTGGAGAACGGTGAGTGACAGGTGACCTCCCTTCTACTTCCACAGGCTCTGCGAGACTGCCAGTGGGCAGTGAGAGGGAGAGCAGGTTCTGTGCGGAAGCCTGAGGCCTGGGAGAGCCGGGCATCTCCAGGCTGCTTAGGAGCCGCTCTCTGTGTCCGACAATGTGGGTGTGCAGGACTGAAGAGGACTGACAGATGTGGGGTCCGCTAAGCTGGCATGTGTGTTGTCAGCATCCTCTCTTCTGTTACCCGGTGTCTCCTCACGTATTTCCTATCCCTTCACACTTCAGTGTCATCCAGATGGTCCTCAGATGTTAGTCAGGTCCCTTCCTCTCCCTACAGCCCATGTTGTACTCCTAAGGAGTGAAGGTGTGTGTCCACGGGAACACATGAGCAGGCTTGCTCATGATGGCCTTAGTCACGATGGCCAGAGTGGAGCAAACACAGGTAGCCACACCCACATAAATGGGATCTGTCCATGTGAGGGACTATTACCTGCCATAGGAAGGAAGAGCTGTTCTGAGAGCTGCCACAACGTGGGCCTTGGCAACAAGAACATATATCATGTGATTTCACGTCTTAAAGGGGCAGATTAGACAGGTGCACAGACATAGAATATGAACTGGGAGTTGCCAGGCAAGGGACTTCCTAGTGTAAAAGACTTCTTTGTCTCTTTGTAAGGTGACATAATGCTCAAAGACTGGTTGTAATGATGGAACAAGCTTAAAAACACTTGTGTGTTTTAAATGGTGGATTGTGTGATATGGCATAGGAATTGTGGCTCCATACAACTGTTCTGAAACAAAGCCAAACCTTCCAGGTATGCAGCTACTCCCAACTCTGGAAGGCCAAAACTTCAGGATCAAACATTTGTACTTGGGTTAAAAAGCAAAATGGCCCAGTTGTAAAATGTCTGCTGTGCAGGCCACAAGGACTTGAGTGCCAGTATCAGAGCCCAGCCTTGGCAGTGCACACCTGGAGCCCTGCTGGAGGCTAGGAGGCAGGAGAATTTGGCCAAATGAGTGAGCTTCGTGTTCAGAGACCCTGCCTCAAAGAAAGGTGGAGATCAAAGAAAGGCAGCCAACGTCAGCCTTTGCATGCACACACTTGTATGTTTACTTGCATACACACAAAAATACACTATACTAACAAGTACACGTACACACCCCTGCTACATATACACACTAAATGGTCATATTAAAACTAGGGCTATGTCTCAGGGTTTCTATTGCTGTAATGAAACACCATGACCAAAAAACAAGTTGGGGAGGAAAGGGTTTATTTGGCTTAGACTTCCACATCACTGTTCATCACTGAAGGAAGTTAGGGCAGGAACCTGGAGACAGGAGCTGATGCAGAGGCCATGGAGGGTGCTGCTTACTGGCCTGATTCTCATGCCTTGCTCAGCCCGCTTTCTTAGAGAACCCAGGACCTCCAGCCCAGGGATGGCACCACCCACAATAGACTGGGCTCTCCCCCATTGATCACTGAGAAAATGCCTTAGAGCTGGATCTCATGGGGGCATTTCCTCAGCTGAGGCTCCTTCCTCTCTGATGACTCTAGCTGTGTCAAGTTGACATGCAAAGCCAGCCAGTATAGGCTAGGAGTGGACTTGGTTCCCACAGGACCCCACACTCCTCCTCTCAGCCTGCTGCTGCAGATGCACTGGACCCCTTGCTGCCTCGGGGCCTTTGCTGTCTCTGTCTGCCACACGCCCTTGTGCTTAGCTTCCCTGACTCCTGTGCCCTCGCCATTTCTGTGCTGTCCTGGTCATAGCTCCTTCAAGTCTTCCGAGCACTGCGAGCTCCCAGAGTTTCTGCATACATGTCTATTTGTTGGTCTTTTCCCTCTCCCTTTCTTCCCTTCCATCCCATAAACACAGCAAGAGGCAAAGTCTCGTTCTCCTAATCATGTGGTTTTCAGTACCAAGCATATAGTAGGGCACATAGTAGGTGCTATAAAATATAAGCAGCCAATGGCCCATACCTTGGGCGCACACATAGTGTGCCCAGGATATGGTTTGATCCAGTGGCCTTCATCAGTCCAACTCAAGTCTCTCATGCAGGGGAAGGCACAATTCCTGTGGAGTCCAGTGACATTGTTCCCACGTGGGATGGCATCCGACTTGGGGAAAGACTCCGTACCATGTCCTGTAGTGACAAAATTCTACGCTGGAATGTGCTGGGCCTGCAAGGGGCACTGTTGACTCACTTCCTACAGCCTGTGTACCTGAAATCTGTAACACTAGGTAAGGGAGTTACTTTGGGAGCTGGAATCCTCCTGTCCTTGGACCAGATCCCAGCAAGCCATTTGTCCTGTGTTCCTATGGCTCCCTTCCCAAGCGAGCTGGGTTTTTCGCTTAAGAACAGGATCTAGGGCTGGAGAGATGGCTCAGAGGTTAAGGTTGTTCTTCCAGGAGTCCTGAGTTCAATTCCCAGCAACCACATAGTGACATACAACTATCTATAATGAGATCGGGTGCCCTCTTCTGGTGTGCAGTCATACTTGCAGGCAGAACATTGTATACTTAATGAATAAATAAATCTTAAAAAAAAAAAAAAGAACAGAATCTAAGTGCTCAGTCTACTATGGCAGGGAAGGTGGGCGTGGGCAGCAAGCAAATGGAGGAAAGACATGCCAGACCCCATGGGTCCTGGGGTGCAGCGAGGCCCCTCAGAGCCTTGCTGTCCTCCTTCCCATCCTCTCCCAGTCCTCTGCCTTTCCTCCAGCCTAGGTATTTGATGTCCTGTGTGTCTTGTGTGGACACAGTCAGGCGTCTCACAGCAAAGGAGCTGCTCTCCTCTCCCAGCTCCTTGTGTGCCTCTGCCTCCCGGCAGCACTTTCTGCGGACCCAGTTGTAAACTTGCTTTTGTTTTCACCCAGGTTACCTTTTCAGCCAAGGGCACCTGACCCGTGCCATCTGCTGCCGTGTGACCAGAGATGGGAATGCATTTGAGGACGGGCTCCGCTATCCCTTTATTGTCAACCACCCCAAGGTGCTCCAATCCCATTCTCTTTGCTCTTGACACACACCTCCTTATGCAAAGCGTTATGGATGGGGAAGCCTTTGCTGGGGTCCCAAGAGCAAGCGCTTGCTCCCTTTGGGTGTCTGGGCTTCAGCTCTCAGTCCGAAGTGCAATCTGAACCATGGTGAAGTTAGTGCAGCTCTCAAAGGGAACGACCAGGGCCTCACACTCCTTACCCAGCAATCTTGCTGCCCTGCCCCCAAACCTTTGTTCTGAAAGGGTTCCCTTTCTCCCATCACTCCATGGGTTCCTAGGTCGGCCGAGTGAGCGTGTATGACTCCAAAAGGCAGTCTGGAAAGACCAAGGAGACAAGTGTCAACTGGTGCTTGGCTGATGGCTACGACCTGGAGATCCTGGATGGCACCAGAGGCACTGTGGATGGGTAAGGAGGCAAGGCACGAGAGAGGCCCACCAGGCTTGCTGCCACTCCCAAGGGCATGCCCCTGCCTGCCGCTCGGGAGTTCAGGGCCATCCACCTTCTACAGAATTCACACCTTAGCCCTCACCTCACCTGCTTCTAGATGAATGACCGATGCCTTTGTTTCCCCAGACCAGGGAAGGAGTTGTCTCGGGTGTCCAAGAAGAACATTTTCCTTCAGTTTAAGAAGCTGTGCTCCTTCCGTGCCCGGAGAGATCTACTGCAGCTCTCCTACGGGGAGGCCAAGAAAGCTGCCCGAGACTACGAGTTAGCCAAGAACTACTTCAAGAAAAGCCTGCGGGACATGGGCTATGGGAACTGGATCAGCAAACCCCAGGAGGAAAAGAACTTTTATCTCTGTCCAGTGCCCAATGACTGACAGTGGGGCATGTTTCCCACAGGGTCAGAGGGAGTTTGTGGCATTCCTCATCACATTGGGCCAGAGTTTGGGGGCTTTTGTTTTTCTTAAACCCTACCCCCCCCCTTATTTTCAATGGAGGAACCATGATAGATGGTACCAAGACCTTTGGTTCCCATTTATCCCACTTGCTTTGGGATTTCGAGGTGGGGTCTGGCCAAGCCTCCCCGCACCCTTTTCCCAAGCAAAAAGACAGAGATTCAAAGCAGAGGGGCACTTGTTCCCCGTGTGGCATAGCCAGTCCCTGATCCCCGGGGCGCCTGGTCCCTCCAGTTTAGTTTTGTGGAGTTGCATCTCCTTTTCGTTTGCTACACTGACCTCTTGTGGATCTGATTACATTCCCATCAGTTCTCTGTAAATCATGTCGGGGACTCATGATGGCACCTCTGTAGACCTGCAGGCCCCTAGTCTTCCCTCCCAGAATTCCTTCCCGTGATGAGGTTTCTCCTTCCCACCCCAGAGGGGGAAGAGTTATATAAAGGATTGATGACATGTTTACAAGAACAGGAGCTGAAAACTGATCAGGGGTTGTAGGGCAGTGGGAATATGGTAGAATGGTTGGGACAGGCAAGCCCTGCCCAACAACAGACTGTGCTGGCCAGCCAGGGAACTTGCTTCCTGGGCACGGGAAAGTTGAGAACCAGATGTGGAACTGAGAAGGTGCCCAAGCCGAGCCGGTGGTGGGGGCCCACAGAGCCCTAGCCAGGGTACAGCAGCATTCCTTGGAATGTAGCCACACTCCTGTCTGCCCTCCGTAAAGCGTTCCCAGAGTCTGGCTCTGTCCACATGGAGTATCTGTGTGAAGAGCTGAGGACAAGTCACGGTCATCTTTGTCCGGACCTAGAAGGGATGAATGCAAAGCATCCTGGTCCACTCGGGATTCTTCTCATAGCACTGTTATCAGCAGAAGTTGACAAAGCCATGCGTAAAATGAATGTTTCTAGAAGGCCAGAGATACTGATTCTGGACTGCATTACAGACTTGAGAGACAAATATATTTTTACATTAGTGAATGTACTTTCATTTTACCAGATGGCTTCAGAAGCTGATTCATGGGCGGGCACAGGGCACCGCGATCTCCTGACCTGCCCCGCCCCTTTGGGAATCTTGATATATGTATGTACTGCAGTGTTGAAGGTGACAGGGCACACTAGCCCCCCACTCTGGGGTGGGCTCCTCTGACTCCTCCTCCCCCTAACACTGAATTGTTGGTGTGTAAGAGCCTTAGCCTCTGTACAGAGTCTGGCTCTAGCACCAAGTCAGCCAGACAGCTAGACCCTGCTCCATTCTGCTCCACAGGACCAAACCCATGCCTTTCCTCTGAATGGCGTGGCTCTGTCTAGGAATAGCTGTATCAGCGGTTTCCTGCACTCCCTTGCTCACCCTCAGTGCTGGCTCCCCCACCCTCTGGCCCACTGCCAGCAGCAACCATATCATATTCGCACTTTGATTCTAATGGCTGCTGTCTCAACCTTTGATCAGACCTGGCTAACAGAAGAACCTGTGTCTTAGCAATACACTGGGGATGTATTGTTTGCACAACACCAAATTATCCTATGGAACTGTTAGTGTCTGCAGTGGTGAGGGTCTGCCTGCAGATGTGTGTGTTGTCAGCTGGGGCATGTTACACCCGACACCTGCATCTGACTGAGGCAGGGCAGCCAGGGACTTTTCTCCATTGATTACTTTGGCCCCTCTGGTCCTTCCTGGGTATTCATTTAAAGCAGCAGATAGATCCGCTTCAGCAGCTTCTTCCTCAGCCAGGCACGCGGGCTCTCCAGTCCAGAGCCCCACCCTTACCCTCGGACCTTGCCTAGCAAACTGTGGTTCCCGGTTTCTGCAGCTGTTCCTGTGGGCCTGCTGAAGTGAACCTCTGGCACACACCCTGCCTCCGGGCCCCCGGTCAGAGGGGCGGAGCTTCCACCACGTTTTCTTCTCTTTTGTGTGTGACCTTCATTTTAAGGAACAGCCTTCCCTCCTTGCTGTTTCTTACTGATTTCCATAGTTGACTTGTCTGAGCTGTGACTGTCTTGCATTCTTTGAATAATCACATGTAAGAATTGTCAATGCCTGAAACTATTTCCTGTACTCAAATTGAAGGGATTTTTGTTGGCCTTGGGGTTTTGGCAGTGACTCCAAGACAGAATGGAGAAGGGCCCAGGCCTAGCCTTGGTGCTGTGACGGATGCAGTCCTTCATGTGTCCCTTAACAGACTGCAGTATACATTCCTCAGAAATAAACCCACTGAAGCAACAGGACTCTTAGTTTCATGGCTTGGTTGCTTGGCGGAGGGAGTTTGGGGACAGACCTATGACACTAAAATCTCCGGCCACAGCTGATTTGCGGTTCCCACTTTTCTACAACCTGACTGGGTATCAGTGTGGTGAGTCAATGGGCTGGGCGCTCCAACCCTGCCCCCCTTTTCCCTGCTCACAGCTCCCCTCCCCATCTGAGCCCTCCTCTCATCTCTTTTTCACGGGTTGGGGGGGGCTTATATAGGCTCTCAAAGCCCCGGATGGAGGGTCAAGGCTGCAGACCACAAGTCACTGCTCCTGGGGCTCACCTCCTTCCCCCTACAAGCGCTCAGCCTTTCCTGTGCCTGTATGTGCCATTTGGAAGGGAGTTAGAGCTGGGAACCGGGGTGGCCTTGAGTGCATCTTCTCACTTTGTGGATGGCATCCGAAGTCTCCCTCTTAAATGTCAAGGAAACTCCTCTCTTTCTACACAGTCACTCTCTCCAGAATTCCTGCATGACCCATCTTTGGCCCTTCAACAGTGATACCATACCCAAGGACGTTGAGTGAAAGACGATGGGCCAACCGAGGTCATAACACTTTAGATCAGGACTTTATGTGGTATCGTTTATCACCTGTTTCGATGCAGGACTCCGGGAATTGAGCAGTTTTAAAGGCAGTTCGGGGTGACAGCTCCTGCTGTCCTAGAGTCTCAAATATCTCTGTCCTCAGCCACTGGGCCCGCCTCCAGGGAAATGGGAGTATTCCAGTCTCTGAGGATGTAGCTCAGGGTGCAGTACTGCTTGGCATACACAGGATCCCTGGCTCCCAGCCTTGAAGGTAGGAAACAGTTTTCTGAAGACTAAGCTGAAGGCAGAGAGGCCAGCCACAGTTTCACTCTGATCCCAGGATTTGGGCAGAGGTGAAGAGCCAGAGCTGCGGGGGTGGGGTGGGGGGGGACGGCAGCCAGCCAGGGCTGGAGAGGACGCCCAAGCCCACCCTACCCCCTGCTTCCTTACAGGGTCTTCCCCAGAGGGCCCCTCGGCTCAGCCTCCAGGCCATTTCTTTTGCTTCTGGTAAATGGGACATAACACTGGCTGGCAGGACGTGCTGCCACTCCCGTCTGTTCTGGCTTTTCAGTGCCTCGCCCCGAGTGGGGGTTCTCTAGTGTTCTCCCCTTCTCTTGTGTCAGTCTTGTCTGTAAGGGTTAGCGCCCTTCTCCCCAAACAGAACAAAGTAACAAGGCAATATTTAGAAACAATTTTAAGAGGAATGAGTCCAGCTACAGGGGTGGGCAGCAGGAGTGGGGATGTAGGTTTAGGGAAAGTGATGTGGACCACTGCACATACTCTGAGAGTGGAGACAGGGGCTGCCAAGATGGCATAGAGATGAGTGTACTGGATGCGGGTGGGTGAGGAACCTACCAGTTTCCAAAGTTTTAGTCCTTTGGGAAGCACATGACCAGCACACTGACTGACTTCTTAGACATGATGGGATAATTACTACAAAGTGACCATTGTTCTGTCCAGTTAGGTTTGGTGAGTGGGAAGCTGGCCAACGTAAGAGGGGCTCAACAGCCATTTCTGCCTGGAAGCAGAGGGTGACAATAGACAGGGACCGTGTCACTCTGCTTGGGGGACAGTTCAGGCAGCTCTAAAGGCCTTGGCTTTCCTCCCCAGGAGGCCAAGGTGACTGGCAGGGAGCAGGTACCAGGCTCTCTGAAGACATGTTCTGCTGCTGCTCCTGGTCTCTCTGGAGCTTGCTTCCCTCAGGACTGTCAAAGGCAGAGTCCCAGAGGATAGGAACAGTGCCCAGTCCCTCATTGTTCTTGTTCCTTACAAGGAAGTCCTTCTTTTCCATTTAATCTCCAACCCAAAAACAACAACAACAAAAGAAAACTCTGGAGGGTCCTGTGTTCTGTTTGTTTTGGCTTTCCTCGCCCTTGGCACCAGCTGCTCCAGACTGGCAGGTCTCCACAGTGGCAGGGAGTCTATGGGCCATGTTTCCAGGCCAAGGCGGTCGCCAGCTTGCTGGAGCTTGGTCACTGATGGGAATCCCCAACTCCCTTCTTCACTGCCACTCCCAGGCCACCCTGTCCCAGATTCCCATGCAGGCTCAACAAACCAGTTACCTGATTCTCTTCAGAGACAGCTTCATGGAGGAGGCAAGAGTCTCCCAGGGTAGAGACAGAAAGCCACAAAGTGGCAGGGACTGAGTTTCCCCCAAAGCCTCCTAGTATCTTTTAGGGCTCACATTGCTCTGACACATGATGGCCTCTTACCTCCCCTCCCTTGTTGAAGTCTCTTCTTCAAAAGATTACACCCAATGGGAGGGACAGCATTTCCTCAGGATCCTTTACCCGCACGGGTCCTTCCCACCCATCACAGCCCTGCCAACCTCGGTTCCCACTGTACAGATGCTGAAAGCAAGTTCTAAGATGGGCATGTTTGCCTGATATGTTCAACAGTACACGGAGAAGCGTTGGACAAACTGCTCACTGACCTTGCCAGCCCTGTGACTAATTTGCACAACAGCCAGTTACAGGAGGTAGTTGACAGCCAGTTACTTTAGTCAAGGTGGGCACAGCAGCAGCTGGTGGGGTCTCTGAGCCTGGAGCCTGCAGTGGTTCTGCCCTCCAGAGGTGCACCATCTTTCCAGATGCTGCTTCTGATGCCAGGGTGCTTTCTCTGGGGCTGGAAGTTTGGAGAGGGAGGCCTTCTATAGGCAATTTCTTGTTCTAGTAAAAGGAGGTCCCTCCTGCCACCAAGCAGAGATGCCCAGGAGCACCCCTGATGGCTGGGAAGTGCTCCGAGGGGCCGTTCACTTCACAGTGTTCTTGTGTCTGTCCAGCAGTCCGTAGCCTTGGAGCTGGGCTCTGGAGAGCCTAAGCTGAAGCTCCCCGGGAAGCTCTCAGAAGGACCCCCTGAAACTGCGATCCTTCCAGACCAGCTGCTGTCCACATAAGTGGCCGGGTGCCAACTCTTGGCCGCACTCCCCCACATCTATCTCAGCAGTCTCCACTGTCAGCCTGGCTGGAGGATCTGAACCCCTCTTCTCACCTCCTCTTCTCCCATGACTTGGAGGCCATAAATAACTCTGTCCCTTTCTTGGCCCCTCCTCCTCTGACTTCTACTTACCAGCCTTGGCTCCCACTATTATCACTACTGCCTGGATTAGCTCAGGAGGGGAAGGAGAGCAGTTGGCACAGCCTCCAGGCTGCAGGGCTACGTGAGTGGGTATGTGAAACAGGTCTTCAGAGGAGTGGGGATGGAGCCATCTTCCACCCAGTACTATTGAACCCCAGGGGTCACGAGGAAGAGCTGCAGACGAGTGAGGCCTCACTTGGAGCTGGGAGCTGAGTGGTCAGGGTGGAGGAAGGTAGTGGCAGTATAGTTCTGGAAGAGAGGCTGCAGGAACATGCCGATGGTGCCAAAGACACAGACAAAGACAAAGATCCAGAGGAACAGGCGGTCGATCACCATGGCAACATATTTCCAGTCCTCCCTCACCTGGATGGAGGAGATATAAGTGGCTCAGATACTAGTCTCATGATGTGTGGGATGGGGTAGAAAAGTCCCTTCCACTCATGTACACACCCCACCCCTCTTCGTCAGCAAGCCCCGATCTTGCCTGCTCTAAAGCTTCTAGTGCCTCCACAGCCCCCAGGGCCCATCCAAACCCACCCATCATGCATAGGAGCCTCCTTTGCCTCCCACACTCTAAAACTCAGGGTTAGTGAGAACTCCAACATGTCTTCCTGGTTCTCTCACTTCCTTAAACAAACCAAGAACAACAACAACAAAACCCTGCCAAATATTTCAAAGCCTACACATATTTCAAAGCCCTAATCAAATATAATCTTTATGAAGGCTTCCCTGATCCTTTTGTTCCCTTGGCACAGGGTTATATATTGCCGACGTAATGTTTAGACTTTGCCATACTGCATCTGTATGGCTAGCCCTCCACCAAACTGCAAACTCCTACATTAAAGGGACCCTGATAGCATCTAGGACAGAAGTCAGTAACTGGGAACTACGGGCCCTGAAGCTCTATTTTCATAATAGTTGGGGCACCCCATCCTATACTGATGTCCAGAAGGTGAGAATGGAGCCCAGGTAGGAAAAAAATCAGTCAGAAAGCTAATAATAGCCCATGGGGGTTGGGAACCAACTACACGGTCACAGAAAAGCCAGTCTCTCCTGCAGACATGTTCTTCTAGGGCCCAGTAGCTCACAGGATGGGGGGAAGACAGCTGTGCACCTCCATGTAGCTGGCACAATAGCATCCTGAGAGGCACTGGGACACAACCCTGTGGTTTTCAGTCTCTCAGGGAGACGGAGACAATAAACCAAAGATTCTTCACTGAGAGGGAATGGAAGACTAGGATGGAGAAACAGAAGGAAGAAGGGAGCAGGGTGTGACCTGGAAACACCTCTTCCAGGAGCAAGATCAGGCGGGCGCAAGGTCACACTGGAGACGTGGGCAGGCAAAGCCAGCAGAGCCCTGCTCACCTTGTTGGTCCCAGTGAAAGGCAAATCTGGGGGAGGACACTAATGGGGCTTGGCAACTAAACGCAACTCGGGGTCCTAGGTCTGGGGGTGATGGTCCTAATAAGGGCATTGCTAGGACAACTGGAAAAGCCTGAATGTGGACTTCACAGTAATGAAAGTATTGATGCTTTTTCCAGAAGTTGATCTTTGAGCCTGGCACTTCACTGTTATTTTGGTCGGTTGTTGGCTACAGTTGGAATTCACATGTGAACTGTGACCTCTACCACTGAGCCACATCCCCAGCCCTGAAGCTGAGTCATGCAGAGAGTATCCCTGTTCTTAAGGAGAGACACACTGGAGTGTTTGGGGTAATAGGTCATATACAGGTTTACTCTTAAATAACAAAGCAAAAATTAGTGACACTAATAGGTTTTTGTCTTTAGAAAAAAAGTGGTTTAATATTGTCAGCTTGATGAGATTTTGAATCACCATGGAAACAAACCTGGGCAAGTCTATGGAAAGTTTTCTAGATTGGGTTAATTGAGGCAGACAGCACTATTCCATGGGTTAGGGTCCAGACAGAAAAAAGAAAAAAGGAAAAGGTTAGTTGCGGATCAGTGTTCACCTCCCCCTGCTTCTTGACTGTAGGCTCAGTAGGACCTCGGGCTATAACCTCAAACTATAAGCCCAAACAATCCTTGCTTTCCTGAAGCCGCTTTTGTCAGAAATTCCATCACAGCCGTGAGAAACAGTAACTAATACAAAGGTTGTTCAGGGTGGAGGAACGCAGAAGCAAAGGCTGGAGGGCAAGAAAGAGTTTGGCTTGCTTGAGACAACTGAGTGATAGGTCAGCCAAAGGGCCAGGCAAAGGGGTAGTGTCAAGAGCCTAGGACAGGGGTTATTTAACTGCAGCACCGGAAGCTGAATCAGGGAGGCAATTCTGGTCCACACAGAGCTGGAGTTGACCAGGGTGTTCGCCTTAGGGTGGCAGAGCACTAAAGTGGGGAATCATTCTGGAGGTGGGCAGTGGTGGCGCACGCCTTTATTCCCAGAAGCAGGAGGATCTCTGTGAGTTCGAGGCCAGCCTGGTGTACAGAGCTAGTTCCAGGACAGGCTCTAAAAGCTACAGAGAAACCCTGTCTCGAAAAACAAACAAATGAGAGAGAGAAAGAGAGAGAGAGAGAGAGAGAGAGAGAGAGAGACTAGGGGTGGTTGGGGTATAGACCAAGCACTCGGTTTTGGATGTGCTGAGTTTTAGATCCCTCTGAGGCATCCAAGTAGGTCACTGCCCGCTCAGCACCTGGCTTAGAATGGAGGCTACATGATGGACTGCGACAGGGGTGGAGCCTGTGATCCAGCAGCAGCTGAGCCTGCACCCTAGTGTCTCCCTGTTGGCCTCAGCGGCCTCATCGTGGTCTCAGCCCCTCTACCTTCCTCTAAGCTATGAAATGCTCCCTGTCTCATGCTTTCCTGCCGTGCAGAGGAAAAGATGTCTGAACTCGATTCCTAACAAAAACCACAGTGCCTGTTCTTTCTCCTTCACCAGGAATGGCAGAATCCTAGAGGAAACCTTGATGGTCACTATAGCAACAACTGAGCCTTGGTTTAAAACTAGTCAGGTACCTAAACACTGATCTCAGAGAAGGCCAGATGGTACCCAAAATGGGGGGTAGGAAGTCAACCCATTGCACCTTCCCCCAACTCCTGGATTAGTCTCAAGGAATCCCCTTCTAGGAAGATTGGGGTGAGGGGGAGCCAGAAACTGGATGTGCAAAATGGGTCTAGGGAGCCCGTGCCTCTATCCACCCCATCTCTATAAGTACTTCATTAGCCTCTTTTCAAGGCCCAGGACAGTAGAGATGGGATATTGATTTGAAATTCTGCTCTGTCCACCGGAATCAACCCCATGGACCCTCTAAACTTTCCTTTCCCTGTCTGTCATCATCACTGTCTTCATCTGCCTACTCTGTGGCCCACAAGGACGCATCTCCATTTGCACTAAGAGTAACACACTAACAACTTTATGTGCTCATGTGTCCTACAGGGAAAAACTCAGTGACACCCTTAAGCCCAAAAGAACTTCCCCCTGCCCTAAGATTCCTGGATACCTCCCTCACCACACTGATGACGTCCCAGCCGATGCATCTCACCCTGAGTACTATTCCTCGGGGAACCACAAGGTCATCATCTGTGTGGTGCAGACTCCAGTGCAGGCAAGTGAGTCTGCTAGCCTATCCTGCAGAGTCCGCCTCGCTCATGTTGCCTCTCCCCTGTACCTTGGTTTTGGGACTCTAAGCAACACCTACTTCTCGAACATAGGGGCCCTTGCTCCTAGCACACCTATCTTACACTTCATACTCACGCTCTGGTCGTCATCCTCACTTCGCATGTGGTCTGCAATGAAGCGTACACCATCCACTGCCTCTCGGAGGCCGCAGCTGCAAGGCCCCGCCGAGTGCCCCGGGCCAGCTGCAGGCGTGGGCTCAGCCCCAAAAGCCCCAGCCAAGCCCTTCACTGACGTGGGGTTGACAAAGCAGGTGCATGGGTCAGCGGCAGGGCCCTCACGGAAGAAGACCGCGCCTGCACCTTCGCGTTCCCGCTGGCGCCTCCTCAGGCGCAGGCGCTGACGGGCACAGCGGTGGCGTGGCTGCTGCAGGAAGAGCAAGGTGGGCAATTTCTCCAGGAAGATCACCTTGACCCAGGGAGCCATGGTGTGCGTGGTGGGCGAGCGGTGGTGTACATTGAGCACACACACACTAGTGACGATGGAGAAGGTGACAAGCACCATGGTGAACATGAGGTACTTTCCCACCAGCGGAACATCGAGGGAGGTGGGAGGCACAATCTTGGAGATGAGCAGCAGGAATACCGTGAGCGCCAGCAGCACAGAGATGCAAAGTGTCATCTTCTCACCACAGTCCGAGGGCAAGTAGAAGACCAGGATGGCCAGTGAGGTGATGAGCACGCAGGGGATGATGAGGTTGATTGTGTAGAAGAGCGGCTTGCGACGAATGATGAAGTCATAGGTGATGTCCACATAGGTGGAGTCGTCTGGGTTCTCATTGCGCCGGCCTGGCAGCGCAATGATGTCCCACTCCCCACTGGGTGTGAAGTCATCCAGGCTGGCCACGTCACTTTTGAGGACCAGGTCGATCTCTGTGCGGTCGTAGGTCCATGAGCGGAACTTCATCGTGCAATTCTGCTGGTCAAATGGGAAGTGCTTCACCTCAATCTTGCACGCACTTTTGTAGATGGCTGGTGGTAGCCAAAAGATGCTGCCATCATAGGAGACCACCGCATTGGAGTAGAAGGACACCTCGTACATGCCGTCAGCACTGCCAAGGAATGGGGCAGTCAGCCCTGGCTTGAGGGTCTCCATCCCACTCATCAACCCAGCAAGGAGGACCTAGGCTAGCAGTGACCCTCTAATACAGATAGGATGCAGGAATGGGGCTTGAGATGGGAGCTGCACAGGCTGGTGGTAAGAACAGGTGTTCTGTTCAGGAGGCATGCATAGCCTCAGCGGTAGAAGAGGATGATGGGGGTGGGATGCATCTGCTACTTGTCCCGAATGTGTAAGCTGAATATGAGGGTAAAGAGGTGGGGAAGCCAGAGAGGTCTGAGCAAGAAACCCCAGCAATGAAGAGGTATGGGCGCAGTCCCGTCAGTTAAGGGAGTTGTGTGCCGTCAAGGTAAGAAGACTCATTGAAGGGAACAGAACAGAATCTAGGTGAAACGAGGACCCTATGTTCTTTGTCACCACCACACAGGCTTCCAGAAGTGCCCACTCTTGAATCAAGTTAGGCACTGAGAACTGTCAGTCTTCACTTTCCCTACCCCCGCTCCAAATACCGGCAACCTAAGTAGCTGGGAGAGGCTGATCATGTCGCCATGACTGCCCACACTACATTCCACTAGTTGGGTCTGTTTGTGTGGATAATGCCTGTCTACAACCTGCTGGGGAAAGCCCCTGCTTCTCACAACAGTGCCTTCCTTTGGAGCCCCCCCCCCCCATGAGCTCAGTCCCTCCCAAGCACACCTCTGGTCTTTCCTAACCTTCCTATCATTCCAGGGTCACCTACTTGTTGTATAGGACCACATCTGGGAGCCAGATGTGTTTGGAAGGGAGCCGGACTTTCTTCATATTGTCGAAGTCCTCAGGTTTCCAGGTGAGGCGATAATCTTCCCACTCCTGGAAAAGAGAGAGAGCAAGGTACTACCAGCCTCTAGCCCGAAAGGGGACCCAGATCCAAAGAAAGGTACAAAAGAGAACTCATATGGCTTGTGGAAAACTTCAAGTTAGTCTTCTCTCCACAGCGACTTCTCTGCCCAGACATAGGTCATGTGATGATGCTTCTCCATGTCGTTTGCCAGCTGAGCCAGGGTACTAGACTTTACATTTCACAGATGTGAAAATGAGTCTTGGGCGTGTTTCATGTGTTTAAAATCAGAGTTGAACAGGGATGATTGTGAAAACCTGTAATCCCAGCACCAGCAAGGCAGAGACAGGCAGACATCTCTGTGAGTTCAAGACCACCCTGATCCACAAACTGAGTTCTAGGTCAGTCAGAGTTACACAGTGAGAGCAGATTCTGAATCAGTTACAGTGCTGGTGAGTAGCCCAGACAAAGGATTCAAACCCAACTATTCAGGACTCCTCACTGCCGAAGATGGAAAGAAAGGAGGAAAGGATGTGGGTAGGAAAGACCACTGACCTGGGTTAGCCAGACATTGGTGGTCATGATCTGCTCCCGTTCATGCTGCAGGGAAACAAGGTAGCTGCTGAAAAGGTCCCCAGACCTCAGCCCTTCCACCGCCCTCTTAGGGTCCCGCAGCCACCACCACCTTAGAAGCGCCAGGAGCAAATGCAGGAGCAAACCCTTTCTGGCTGAGCTGACCTGTAGCTGGACAGAGAGTTGGAGAGCCACACTCACCACACTGATAAGCTGGGCCAGGGACACCATGAGCTGAACAGTGACCAGCTCCGAGCCGTTCGTGGCTGGACGGATCAGCTTGTTGTAGCGGGAGGGATCCAGGAGGTGCTCCACTAGCCGCTCCTCTGTGTCGGTAGCCAAAACCTCTGGGTAAGGCAGGGCAGGAAGCGAGTAAGCAGAAGGGTTCACAAAGGTCCTCTTACCCAGGGAGTGGGGTGACTGATCAACTTCCTCAGCCTAGAAGTTATAGCCTCTTCACAGCCCTGTGCTTAAGGATACTGCAAAATGTTCAAATAAGCCACAGGACCATAGAAGCTCCAGGTTGACTTTCATAGATAAGTCCTTCTCCGAGACCATTCACCTCTAGACTGCAAGGATTAATGGGGACTTGTTTTCCCCAAAAGGTTTCAGAGGGACAAGCCTCTGAGGTTTGAGATCTCTGCCTCCATGGGTTGGGGCAGAATAGTAGGGTTGCCTGAACTGTGGGCACAGGTACCCACCCCGTGTTGTCATGTGGTTGTGGAGAGTTTGTTCTATTGTGCATTGCCTTGTACTGGCCCCTCTCCTCATGCCTCTCTTTCTGTGACCTTCTGATCACCCACAGAGCGCCTCCCTTGTCCTTAGTCTGGCATTTTCTACTCTTCCAAGTCTCCTGTCCCAGGTGGGAAGTCACAGTTCTCCCCTTCGTGCCCTGTAGGGTGACCCAAATCAGGACCCCAATGAGGGGAGTGGGAAATGATGGGGAGCCAGGAGGAAGGCATTAACCCGGGTCATAAAAAAAGTCAAAGGGTATCAAGTCTCTTGTCATCTCAGAATCCTCTCCTTCCTTCCTTCCTCTTTGTGCTTGTTTCTTCCCTGCAATGGCCAGGTTTCCACCTCTCCCTGGCCTCTCGCCTGCGCCTGTACCTGAGTCTTCCTCCCAGATCAGTCTTCCAGATGCTCCCTGCCGACCCTGGAGTCACTCCCCATCCCCCAGCAGGCTCCTCCACCTCTAGACTGGAATTCCTCGTTTTGCCTTTGTCCTGGCAGAGGTGGCAGAACTCGGCGTCCTGAGCCAGAGGTGGCAGAACTCGGCGTCCTGAGCCACTAGCCGAAGCAGGGGAGCCTGGCCGCCAGTTCTTACCTGAATACAGCCAGAGAAGGCCGAAGCTGAGCAGCGGCGCCACAAAGCTGGAGCGCCGGGCCATGCCGCTAGCATAGCGCGGCTTTGCCGCAGACACTAGGTGCTGCAGACGGAGCGCTGTCCGCGGTGCTGAAGCCGCGCAGCCGCCGAATTCCGGGTGGGGCTCTCGGCCTCCAGGACTGAGCGGTTCCTAGAACGCAAGGAGGACCCGGCTTCTCGCCGGTGACGGTTCCGGCGGCTCTTCCAGGGAACACAACTGGGACTGCGAGGGGAGGAGTCTCCGCCCCGGAGGCGGAAGCGCGGGATCCCAGGGAAAAAAAGGTGGTCCCTGAGTGGGATGCTCTTTGGCTGGGCCTGCCTAGGAGGGGTGCGTGTGAGGAGAAGGCGACCCTCTCTCTGCTCAGTGGACAAGTTCAAAAGCCCCGAACTTGGGGCAGGACTTGGCAAGGTTTGAGTAGGGCTGGGAGGGAGCGAGAGTGGTAGGACGCGGGGTGGGTTGGGGCTGTTTCTAAGGTTACTGTCCTTCTTTATGTTCTTACCCTCTTTATGTTCTGCTCTTCAGGAAAGCAAAGGATGAGACAGAGAATATGCATGTTAGGACCTGGGACAAAGAAGCAAGGAATAGGAGGCTGACTAGTTTAAAAAAGCAAATTGCTTTGGAGTTTTGGAATAGAGTCCCTTCACCTGTCCCTTTCTCTGCTTCCATAAGTTCCTATAAGGCCAAGATCTTGCCAACCTTCGGGGGAAATCTAAGCTAGAAAGGTCTAGACCTCCTGAAAAGAAGGTAGCCTTGAAAGTTCTGACATATGGATAAGCGGCCAATATCAATGGTCCCTTCCACTGCAGTCATCTTCTGTGTTTGGGGAGATCAGGGGACCATTTCACAGAGAAAAGAATGGAGCAAGCACAAAGGAGAGCAAAGATGAGAGCAATGTCAAAACTCAATGACATCTTTTATCTTGAAAGCCCTGAACTTTTAGCTACTGAGCCCTTTTTTTCTTAGCAGATCAGTGGTCACTTTCAACCAAAAAGACTCCTGTCTGAAGCAAACTTAGCAGGCACCAAGGCTTCTCTCATTCCATCAGTGCCTGCTCCTCAGCCTCACCAGGGCACACCGTCCTCCGCTCCACACTCAGCTAGTGGCAATGTCTTCAAAGTCCTTGGATATTTTACCCCTCCCAGCCCTTGGCCTTTTAAACATAGAGTTCTCTTCACCTCTTTTCTTACCCGCTGCCCCAACTCCTTCTACTTAAACTTGAGTGTTCACAGGAATTTCAGTTCCTCAGGGAAACTGTGACTAGGATTGAGTTAGGTACCTTGTTAGGCTTTCCCATAATGGAATCCTACAGCAGCACTGCCTTTCCAATAGAGTAGGAACTTGCATAGGGCTTGGCTTAAGATGAGGGCTTAGCCAGAAAATGATAATGCATGACAGACATGTTTTATTGTGTATGGGAAATTCCTGCTATAAATTCAGGCAGAAGCAACTTAACAAGTGCTCGGATTTAGGGAGTCCAGAAGTTAGTGATGCAGCTTGGTGAAGGAGTGCTCACCTAGCGTGTGCATAGCTTTGAATTCAATCCCCAGCATGGGAAGAAAAGGGTATGGGGAAGACTTTGAAGGGCAAAGTCAGGAAAGTGCAGTAGAAGCAGCAAGGTGATGGGGAGGGAGAACATCTACAGTGCGTGTGGAGGTGGGTTTAGATCTACGTCACAGGTGCAGAACATATGCAGGGTCTGCATGGGGAATAATTTCTTCAGAAGAGATCTGAACACCAAGTGAAGCCTAGAGAGGAGCAGAGTGTGGAGTCACAGCACTTGGGGAAAGACTCAAGGGCAGGATATGTCTCCAACAATTTAGATCAACATGGATTGAGTATGTCCTGTGAGCCCAGAATTATTTGGAGCTGTGGAGGCAGTGATCAAAAAGACTTAGTTCCAGTTATTAAAGAGACCACAGTGGCAGCAGATTAGCAGCCATTGTGACGACTGCTCTGGAAAGGACAGAGAGGAGTGTGGGAGCCTAACAGGGTAGCTTAGTTATTCCACACTCCTGAGACAGCATCTCCAGTCGGTGAAGCGTGAAGAAGGCTGGCAATGCCTCCTATTGCTAAACTTCCTGGAGTGCTTACTCTTTTCTTGATGACATACTAAAGGCCACTCACTCTTTTTATCACAGACTAGGGGCACCATTCATTTCCTTCTAGATGACGGACTTCTAGATCTTGCCAGTTCAGGTAGCTGTATACCTTGGTCTTTACATTATCTTCTCAAAACTTTAGTTTTGGCTTCAAGTTTATTTCTAGTTTGGCAAGGATGAATCTACGGAGATAATCACCAGTGATGGAGGAGAGTGGGCCACCCTCCCTCCTCATCAGTACCCACATCCTTCTACATGCCCCTGGGAAGAGAGGTGACAGGAGAGATACAGAACCATATAGGGCTGGGGCAAACACAAAAATGTCAACCATGACACAAACATGAGTAAGCAGAGTTCTAGTGCCTCGGATTACAAGGAATATTTTCTTTTGAAAACATTGTATTTCCTTTATTTAAAGTGATTTACATTTTAAAAATTTGTTGCCAGAGTAATACTTGTGTTCATAAAGAACTAAAACAATACAATTAGCAAAGCAAAGACGACTCAGAGTCCTACCACTAAGGGGAGAGACATCTACTCAGCAAAACTATGTATCTACAATTATTTAGGTATAACATTCACACAGAGAAGTATAGTCAGTGTATCTGGATACATCATCTTGAGAGAAATTTTGTTTAAAGGAATAATTATCAATAAATAGTCAGGTGCTTCTCCCAGTCATTATCTCTCCTCTCTGAGGACAGAGACCCCAGTCAACACTACTTCAAGTTCTGGAGTGGGGCTGGAGCAATGTAAAAGTAGTTAAGAGCACGGGTTGCTCTTCCAGGTCTCCAGTCTGAGCTCTAGCACACATGACAGCTCACAACCACTTGTAATACTGGTTTCAGGGGATGCTGGCCTCCAAAGACATCACACCCATTGGAATACACAGACACCTGTGGGGCCACATGCAGGCACTCATACACATAAAATGAAACTAAATATTAAAAAACAAAATTCTGGAACCAGTTATTGGGAATGATTACACAATAGTGTGAATGCAAATGGAAAATTTTATGGTATATGTATTTTATCATAATTTATTTTTGAGAGTTTCATGAAGCCCAGGCTGATCTCAAATTCACAACAGAGCTGAGGCTGGCCTTGGATTCCTAATCCTGCTGACTCTACCTATCTCGTGTTGGGATTCCAGGCATGTACGACCACACCCACCCACAATTTTCTTAGATGACTAAAAGGAAAAAAAAGAGCCACCATTATGATTTCTAATAGCAGAAGTCAACTTTGCCTGTTAGACTTCATATAAATGGAATAATAATCTGTATCTGTTTTATTGATCTTATGTTAGGGAGAACTATGGACATTGTTGATGTACTTCACCCTTCATAACTGCAGAGTATCCCATTGTGTGACTACACTATATTTATCCATTCCACCCCTGATGGACTTTTTTTTTTTTTTTTTTTTTATGGTTTTTCGAGACAGGGTTTCTCTGTAGCTTTGGAGCCTGTCCTGGAACTAGCTCTTGTAGGCCAGGTTGGCCACAAACTCACAGAGATCTGTCCGCCTCTGCCTCCCAAGTTCTGGGATTAAAGGTGTGCACCACCACCACCACCCAGCTGATGGACATTTGTTTCCTATTTAGGACCATTAAAATAACACTGCTGTGGACATTCATGTCATATTTTGGGTATAAAGATATAAACATAAGGCATACATTTTGGTTATTTTGCAAAGAGGAGCAAATTGTGCTTGTTATACGTTTGTAGTTACCCTTCTTCATTCACTGTTTCACAAGCCTCTCTCCATAAGGGTAAGTATTCTTTGATTCTATTATTTATCAGTGGTATGCCCTAGGGGTTGGAAAAGCTTAGCAAGTCCTCTACTACTCAGATATCCCTCCAATTCCTTTTTTTTAAAGACAGTGTCTGTGTAGCCCTGGATGGCATCAAATTCATGATCTCCTGTCTCAGCATCCCGAGTGCTTGATCCCCTTTGTCTAGGAACTTTTAGGTCTTCCTTCCCAAACTCCTTCCCCTTCAGAACTAAATCTTAGTTTCCCGCAAAGCTCAGCTGTTAGTGCTGGTACTGACATTTGCTTCCATAGCTTCTTAACGCTCTGTTGACCTTTTGAGCCTCCCAGAGCTTACAAAAGAAGCTCAAATCCTTAAACAGCTGCAAGATTCAGCCTTTGTCTGCCTGACCTCCATCATTCTCCTCTATTCAAGACCTATTATTCTTCAACTTGCCACATCCTTCAAGATGTGATGGCTACGGAAATTCCATTCTGTACCAGGTATCTCCTTCATAGCCATTAGCCTCTGCCCTAAATTTCTGAAAGATGAGTTCCTAGGAACCTGCACCCTCCCCAGAAGGATGTAACTGCCATGAACTGATTAACAGCTTGCTCTGGCTTCTGTAAACCCGCTTATCACTGTATACAGGGGAGTGAGGTACCTCGGTTATGGCTGTGAATGGGGAGAAGAGAGCTCCTCACACAGCTGAGGGGAGTGAAGTGGTTTACACAACTGTGCATTCCACGGAAACAAGGTTGTTGTGGTTGTCACCTTTAAAAATCCTTCCCTTAGCCCATTCTGTGTAGCATGCCTTCAATTTGGCTTTTGAGGCTGTCACCCTGCTAGCAGTCTTAATAAATTTATCTAATTACAATTCCCATAATGCCATCTCTCCTGCTTGGGACTTGTCGGCTCTTGCTCTGTCCACTCTAGGCACTCTTGAGAACACCTTCCCAGACCTACAGTCTCCTCCTACGAGGTACTCACTACAACTGCAATTCAGCGCTTTAACGTCTGTCCATGCAGTAAATGTCTGGTTCTCTAAGTTTTTATTTATTTATGGGGGTGAGGCAGAGGCCATGGCATAGTGGGTGAAGATCATGGGACAGTTTTGTGCAGTCTTTACTCTTCTACCTTTGTGGGTAAGCAGAATTAAACTGTACTAGGCTTGTGTGGCATCTGATCTGCCAGGCCAAACATAAACCTGAGAATGTAAGGACTGGGTCTGCTTCACTTGGGGCTGCTTCTTCAGTGCCTCACAAGTGGTGCTCAGGAAGCATTTGTCCACTTCCCATACTTGTAGATTATGGCTTTATCGTTTCTCTTTTCCACGAGTTCCATGAAGGCAGGAACCTTTTACCCACTGTTTTCCTGCCCCAGAATTCACTAAACAAACCTATGCACTCATTGCCAGTTCTGCTGGAGGCCACACTATGCCCTATTATTTTAGGTATGACGTCATATGAGGTTTATGAGAGACCTGCGATACTGAACAAAGCAGCAATAGAAGACGTCACGCTCCAGAGACCATGACTTGTGGGTTCCTCAGGAGGTGGGGTGTGGCTTACCAGTTTGTAATATTGTGGGGTTGTCTCATTGTGTTTTCTTCCAAATTAAGCCCTTATGGGATGTAGTTCAATGGCAAAGTCTAACATAGGTGCGACTCTGGGTTCAATCTTCAGGACAATAAATAAATGTATACATTTAAAACTTTCATATGGGGTAAGACAATGGCTCAGTAAATAAGAACACTTCCTTGTTCTTGCAGAGAACTGGGTTTCAGTTCCAAGCACCCATACAGCAGCTCACAATCATCTGTAACTTCAGTTCCAGGGAATCCAATGCCCTCTTCGGGCTGTGTGGGCACCAGGCACATATGTGGTACATGTGCATATGTGCATGCAAAATATGCATACACACAAAGTATTTAGAGAAGGCTCGAGTCAGGCCTGGTGTGTGCCTGTGTAATCCCAGTACTTGAAGGCTGAGAGACATTCCACTTCCTTATCTCAAGTTCCAGTTTCCTGGATCAGGGCTGTAGTCATGTGACCTGTAAAAAGTTCTAAAGCATGTGGGGGCTGAGCAAGGTGATGTATGCCTGACTATCAGCTAGCTCATCACTGGGAAGCTGAGGCAGGAGGATGAAGATTCCAGCCAGCCTGGGCTACATAGCAAAACCCTGACAAATAACAAAAAATAAATAAAACAAGCAAGTAAGCAGACCGAATAGGGTAGAGGTCATGGGCACAGACCTACAAGTCCAGCTTAGAGATCCTGACCTCCATCTGTAAAATAAGAATTAAAACACTTACCTTGCAATGTAGTTGGAAGGATTAGAAATATTTGCGAAATATCCCCAGCTCAGGGAGTCCTTAGTAGACTAGACTTACCATTACTCGTTTTTGTGTCGTGATAAGGGTATCAAATCCAGGGCTTCCACATACTAGGCAAGCAGCCTACCATATCCCCAGCCTTTTCTTATTCATTACTTACGTGGCCCAGACAGAAGCTCATTAAGTAGGCCTTGAACTTTCGACCCTCCTAGACTGCTGGGAAACAACTGCTAGGTTTGGCCTAACCCATCATTTTATGCTTCCCGCTTGTGAGCACGTGCACGAAGACGGTATGTAGCCAAATGATCGTGATGCTCACATCACAAGTAAACCAGTCCTCCCCCTTCAAAAATAAAATAACAACATGGAATTTCTTTAAAAATCCGAAGTTGAACTCGGCCAAGGGACGCCTTCTGCTAACATCACTGAGGGAATGAACAGCCCAGAACCAAGCAAGGTACAGTCAGCTTCAACAGAGGTAAAGGTGGCAGCGGCAGAAGGGCCAAAAGGTCACAGGCTGAACTGGCTCAAATGCATCAGGCTCGAAGAGGCTGGCACCTGCCTTTTGCAGCTCTGGGGTTCAGGAACCTCAGACGGCGTTGTCCTTTGTGACAGCGCCACCTAGTGGGAATGTAGCGGTGCTGCCATGAATTCCCAACTGCTCCGGAACAGTGCAGGAGGATGCCGGTCGGCTGGAGAGACTTCTATCCGACTGCTGGATCAAACCTGTGACTCTGTGGAGAAAGCCGCACCATCCTTCCCATCAGACTTAACCGACCAGGGGCCATACTCGACATTCTGGTATCCTCGCACCGAGTCCTTGGAACAGGCCAGAGAGATCGTCGTTTTCTACACAGCCATTGTACGGATGGAGAAACCGAGGCCCGGCAGGAGCGTAGATAACCCAGACACGGTCACACGACCGTAGAGGAACCGCAGGGAGAGCCAAACCAGCTTAGCGGACCGCGGTGGAGCACGCCTCCCCGACCGCACGCCGGGTCTGCCGCAGGCGCAGAGGCGGGCGACGCGGCCCGATGGCTCGCTTGAGGATGCGGGGCGGACGCCGCCATCCGCCGTCCACCGAGCGCCCGCGACACCGGCGCGCGGGCGGGGCCGCGGGGTGCGGGCAGGAAGCAGACTCCGACGGGGCGAGCCCTTGGGAACGCCGGCCACGTGACGAGACACGCCGGCCACGTGACGGGGGAGCGCCGGCAAAGGGTCGTCGTGCGCGGTCACGCACGACGCACATACACGCACGGAGGCGCTTCGACCGGCGAGCTGTGGGCCGCGGGTCACATGTGGAGGGTGACAGGCGCGGACCGGGGGGCGGGAAAGACGCGGGGATCACGTGCCGGGGGCCGGAGCTCGGAGGTCACGTGAGGACGGAGGCGGGGCCGCCTCGGAGGGGGAGGGGCGCGCGGCTTCCGGCGGCCGTGGGGGGGTGGGCCGGCGAGCGGAGGGGGCCTGTCCCGGAGGTGGCGGCGGCGCCATCTTGGCAAAGGGGGGATCAGGAAGTGCGGACCGCGGCGGCGGCGGAGCCCGGAGCGGAGGCCGGAGGCTCCCGGCCCGCTGGCCCCGGAGCGGAGCGGAGCGGAGGATGCAGCAGCCGCAGCCGCAGGGGCAGCAGCAGCCGGGGCCGGGGCAGCAGCTGGGGGTCCAGGGGGCGGCGCCGGGGGCCGGGGGCGGCCCGGGAGGGGGCCCAGGGCCGGGGCCCTGCCTGAGGCGAGAGCTGAAGCTGCTCGAGTCCATCTTCCACCGCGGCCACGAGCGCTTCCGCATTGCCAGCGCCTGCCTGGACGAGCTGAGCTGCGAGTTCCTGCTGGCCGGAGCCGGAGGGGCCGGGGCCGGGGCTGCGCCCGGACCCCATCTCCCCTCTCGGGGATCGGTACCGGGGGAACCCGTCCGCATCCACTGCAACATCACGGTGAGGACCTTCTCGTTTGCACCGCGCTGGGGTCCCTTGTCTGGTGCTCGAAATCACACCCTACAGCCTCCTGCCCTCGGAGGACCCCGAGGCCGGAGCCCCCTCTTGGGGCTCGGCTCCTTCTCCCCAGGCTGCACTCGTTTCTTTTGCTTGAGGTTCTGTGGTGCAATCACAGTCTCTACTGTTGACCCCTGAGAGCGAGAGACACCCGGACTTGTGGCTCTCGACCACCCCCTCCTAGGAACCCACCTACACCTCAGGTTTTATGGCTTTGGTGCCTTTCCGTGACTCCTCCACAACTTTACCGTGTCACTTAGGAAGGCCCATTTCTTCTCCCCACCCCCAACTCCAATAAAGAGTCCAGGCCTCTGCTGGAAGGACCTGGCCTGGAACTCGGCCCTGTTCGGTAGTGACCCCTTCTCAGCAGTTCTTGCCACTTAGATGTTAGCACCTGTGGGTTCCCTGCCCGGGCATCCCTCGTTCAACCCCTCTCTGCTCCCTGAATTGGCTCCACTTTAGATTTCATCTCACTCTGGTGTAACTAGCTAACCTTTAACTCCTCTTTGCCTCAGCTGGTAGCAATTTTGCCACTCCCCTCCCCGTTTCTGGCGTTATGTCTACTTGTCCTAGGTGGTTGTTGCCTTTTCTGGTGGTGCTAGTGTGTGTTGAGCAGTAATAGCGCCATTGCTCGGCAGTGGGCTTCATATCGTCCTAACTAGACCAGATTAGGAAACACTTCATGTGGCCAGCCTTATTTTATCCCTTGAGGAAACTGTTGGGTGTAATTTTGTAACATCTGGTACTGCGTGATACAGTGCTCACATTGGTTGATAACACCCACTGTTAATGGTCTTGCCCCTGCTGGAGCTAGCTAGAGAGCCAGTGGGCAGTACCTTTAGCCACCCTGGAAATGGGAGTGGCTTGGGAGAGGCAGACTTGTGAATTCTCTGGTACTTGAACGCTTCAATTTGTCTTCCATGGTGTTTTCTATCCCTTTCTGCCACCAAACCAGGCCATGGTGGTGAGAAGTGGGAGCAGAGTAGTCATGAGACACTTGAGTTTTGGTGGGGAATCTAGCCAAGCTGAGGCTTACCTCACCAAGCTATGACCAGTCAAGTAAAGATTTTAGCATCTTCGGTCCTGTTTCTCCTGCAGCACTGGTTAGAGCTATGGCACCGCTAAGACCCCCCAGTAGAAGTGGGTAAGGCTTCCCTGGCATGTGTTGAGACATCAAAGATTGGATTTTGCTAAGTGGATTCACTTTACGGGTAGGTTTGCTTCCTCCAGCGGCTTCCTTTCAGTTGCCAGAGGCCATCTTTGTCTTTGGGGGTTCTCAGCTGCAGTGCCCATGGCCCTTCTAAAGGAAGCTTGGCCTACACAGGTCCCCTGGCCTTGGGTAGAGTGGGGGAGTCTGTTTAGGCTCCTTTGGCATTGTGGCTCAGGAATGCTGGGAATGTCAGTAGCAGTGGTGGAGGCTTCTTTCTCCCAGCCCATGCCTGGACTGAAGAGAGGGCAGGGAGTGGTAGGGAGAACGGGTCTCAGAGGGTTCTGTCTTGGGTGGAGGGCGGTTCCTACACATGCCCTATAACTGTTAGCTTTGAAGACCGTTTTATTTTAGTTCTTCCTCCCCTGGTGGCTACAGCCTGCATTTTTCTCATCACTGTGGCTGTTAGGAGGTGATCTTCCTTTCCCTAATGCTGGAGTGTGGAAACACTGAGACTCTAGCCTGGGTGTGAGAACTTGAGTGTAACAGGACAGAAGGCCAGAGCCTCCTTCGCTATGGTTAGCTCTCCCTGGTTTCTCCTCTAGAAGAAAGTAACTTTGCAGGTTGCTTCTTAGTTCAGGCCCTCCTAGGCTCTTGGTCTAGGGAAGCTGAACTGGCGATTTTAGTGGAGGGCATGGTGGTGGGAAGGAAAGGAACCAGAGTCTTCAGGGAAGAAGGAAGGCTAAGCAAAAACTGGTTTTCCCAGTTTTCCCTTGTGACCACTCTCCCTGCTTTCTCCCTCAGGAATCATACCCTGCTGTGCCCCCCATCTGGTCGGTGGAGTCTGATGACCCTAACTTGGCTGCTGTCTTGGAGAGGCTGGTGGACATAAAGAAAGGGAATACTTTGGTGAGGGGCAGGGGGTAGAGTGCATGTGTTCCTGGTGAGGTTTCAACCATAAAAGTACCCTATGAGGCAGCTGGATCTGAGAGTGGGGGTCCCCAGGTGGACCGTCTTGGGGAAGACTTCTTGGGAGAGTTGCTTTCTGAGGTCAGAGGAGACAGGTTCCTGTAGCAGCCCCAGGGTAGGTCCACTAGGGAAAGTCATTCCTGTAACTGTGAGGGCTATCCAATTAGAGAAACAGCCACCATTTTGGGATCTGAGCTAAAAACTCATCCATGCAGCAATCCAGATTGCAGTAGGGGAGGTGTATTTGATGTGTCTGTGGTCCCCACCCCAGCTCTTGCAGCATCTGAAGAGGATCATCTCTGACCTGTGTAAACTCTACAACCTCCCTCAGCATCCCGATGTGGAAATGCTGGATCAGCCCTTGCCAGCGGATCAGGTATGCAACTGAGGACTGGGCTTTGGGTCCTGTTGTTCAGTCATCCCAAAGAGCGCCCGACAAATTCTTGATAACTGAAATGGAACTGTGGTTGCTCCTGCAACTCCCACTGCTCCCAGTGATTCCCAGCTTCTTTCTTCTCCAGATGAGACTCTAGCTAAATACGGCACTATCCACTGCTCTGTCCTATCAGAACTTATTCTCAGGGGCAGCATCCCTCAGGTTGAGATGAGGAGGACGTGTTTACTATTACCTTAGCAATAGGAATTGATAACTATTGGCAACCCAGGCCCTTTGTTTAGAACCAGAAATGCACTGTCACTTAGAGGGTTCTCAGAGAAGGTGAGCTAGGATCTGCAGAGCAGATGACAAGAGCAGCCATGAGTTCTTTTTGTTTTTCTTTTCTTTCCTGGCATGTCGTAGCAAGAGAATAATTGGCTGGTAGCAAAGTCATCCATCCCTTGGGCTCATGCTTCCACTCAGTTCTCGCTGATAGAGAAACTGGCATCTTTATGGGCACAGTGCCCAGCTTCCAGACCTTCAGGGCCAGGGGTAGGTCAGGCTGCATTCTTGCAACCCACTGGGTTCTGATCTTGGTCTTTGCCCTATTCTCCACTGTAGTGCACGCAAGAAGAAGTATCTTCAGAAGACGAAGATGAGGAGATGCCTGAGGTAGGCTTACCACTTGAAATGGCATTGACAGGAAGTGTTCATCTCTAGTATGGGTCATTCAATATAAACAACTCCAGTTCCCAACTGGGGAAAGGAGTGTGTCAGTGGAGTAAAGACTGGCCTGGAGTGAAGGAAATGACCATCTATTGTCCATTCTTTGAAAACAAACAAATACTGGGCAAACTCATCTCAGATGGCTTCAAGAGTCTTGACAGACCCTAATTGCACCCTGATTGTCTTATTTGGAGAGTTTCACTTATTAAGCTACAGTCTTTTCATCTCCAAAATAAGATTATGATACATATTACAGGGTTATTTCAGGTGGTAAATAAATAATAATGTATAATATACTTGAAAGAATCTTTAAAAATACAGATGCTTTATTTTTCTCACTTTTAAATGCATGGCTATTTTCCCTGCATGAATGTCTGTGCACTACATACCTGCAGTGCCTGTGGAGTCGAGAAAAGGGCATCAGATCCCCTGGGACTGGAATTATAGATGGTTATAAGCCACCATGTGGGTGGTGGGAACCAGTTTCCTAGAAGAGCAGCCAGTGCTCTTAACCACTGAGCGATCTTTCTAACTCTTGTTTATGTTTTGAGATAGGGTCTTGTATAAGCTAGGCTGGCCTCAAACTCACTTGTATAGTCAAGGATGGCTTGAATTGATCCTCTTGCCTCTACCTCCCAAGTGCTAGAACTACAGGCATGTGCCACCATGTCTAACTGTAGGTGCTTCTATAGAATATAAACAATAGTTAAGTTGAGCTTCACAGCCAGATAGATAACCTTACTTCTGTGAAATCTGCTTTGAATGGGCATGAGAATTAATTCACTAGACCTCAACTTTCCTATAAAATAAAGGTAATGATAGGATAACTCAATGTTATAAAGGAATAAAGTAAGCTAGTGTGTGTTGCCCTTACTACAGGACTTTACAGGATATCCTTTTGTAGTACTGTATCTCTGATCGTGTTTCCTAGCCTTGGACCC